GTCTTAAACGGGAGGCGAGACATATCCCAGTCTTATTATGTTTGTTAAGTATAAGACGTCTGAACTTATCAGCGATACATGTTCCATCTATGAGAGAAGTGCCTCCCCACACATGCCGCATCACTTTTGCGTCATTCTTTTCCCGTCACCAAATGTGCTTGGGTGTGTAAAGCATCTAATCCACGCCCGCTCTAACCCGGCACAGCGTGCTTTAAAATTGGGGACGGAGACGGAAGAGGATGAGGTGGACTCTATAGGAGTGCAACACGGACGCGCACCCCCTTTTAAAACTGGAAGTCGACGCGCGAGAGTTCTTGAGCGCTGTGAAGCGCGGGTGGAAGGGGAGCGGGGGTAGATGGATGAGGTAGGATGGAGTGGGAGGCGAAGGAAGGTGTTCTTACTTGTGTCCAGTCTCAGGCACGTTGATCTTGACGTCCTGGATGGTCTCCTTTTTCTTCTTTTCTCTCTCCTATTTCTTTGTCTCCTTGTCCTGCATCTTGCACCTCATTTTGTCCATCTCCGTCTGCCGGTCCGTTTCTTTAAGTCGAGGCAGATGTTTTCAAGGACTGTTTTGTCCTCCTCTAATTCTTGGATCCTGGTGATAAGGATCTGATGTTCTTTGGGAATGGTATCCTCCGTTTGTTGGATCTTAGAGATCAGACACAACTCAGTGAAACCACAAAACCACTGCTTGTGACCATCTCGTGGTGGGTCTCCTCATGGTGGTGGCTCTTTTTTAAAGCAGCCAGAGAATCCCTCTGGGTCTTCAGCAGTTTGTTTTCTGCTTCCAACTGCTGCCAGGTCTCGTTGTTGACCCTGAGATCAGCACTTATGACAGAAAGTTTTTTTTTGGTCTCGGTGAGCTTCAGAGATAAACCCTCGTTCTCCCTGATAGTCTCATCCAGAGCCTCTGTCTTGATTTTTAGCAGTTTGTGTTCTTCTACCAACTGGTGGTTGTTGGCCTGCTCCTTGTGCAGCTCTTCTTAAAGAGAAATGTTGGTGGAGAGTAACCCTGTTACTTACTCCAAGGACTGTTGTTGGTAATCCAGTTCCTTGAATCTGTTTTCCTCCAACTTCTGCTGCCAGGTCTCTTTGTTGACCGTGAGTTCAGCACTTTTGACGAAGAAAACCCTTGTTCTCCCTGATGAGGTCTGAAAACTTATTTCTGTTCTTGTCTGCTCATAGGCAAGATCTTTGCCTTTTAACAGGTTGGTCAAACTGCACCTCCCAGTTTCAGTGTGAGCAGTGAGTTCGCTCACCTTCCTTTTCAGGTAGTGCACTTCATCCCGGGCACGAGAAAGTGCCATGTTCACCTTGTATCCGTTGGGAGGAGTCCCGAGACGTGAAGCGCCAAAATAGGCTGGAAGCCTTGAAAAAGGCTGTTTGTTTGCTTGCCGGATAACGACTCCATGTGGTCTTTGAAGAATGGTGATATATCCATCGAAAGGCTCCTTAATTAAGTCTCGTTAAGGACAAACGTCGCTGATTAATTCTCTCACAAAACAATATGCAGTGCTCTGTCCTGTGGCCAGACTCGCAATGAACAGATGAATCTACTTTGTCCTGGAACTTGGCCTTGAAGATTCCATTCCATTTCATTTCATTCCATTCCATTTCATTCCATTCCATTCCGTTCCATTCCATTCCATTCCATTGTGTGTCATAGAGTGGACTCCAAGACAACGGAATAGAAAATACAACAAAACCCACTTTGTGTGGTTTTATATATACACATTATATATATATATATATATATATATATATATATATATATATATATATATATATATATATATATATATATATATATATATATATACTGACGTTCACATGTGATCTGTAATGTTTGTTGATTTTTCGTTTCGATCTTTATTTATTATGTTAAATAAAGAACATTGTCTCTTGAAACAGTGCAACTCCAATCCTGTCATGGCCCCAAAGGGCCAGGTCGCGACAAATGTGGGGCTTGTCCAGTTGTGGTCCGTGATTTGTTTGACGATGGCGAACACTAGTGTGGTCACAGTTAAATGCCACCGACAGCCAGTGTCCTCTCCCTCCCTCCCTCCCTCCCTCCCTCATGTGTGTGAGCGGGTGTCCTAAAACCGGGATGTGTGTTTTTAAGTATACGCGAGCAAACCGCGGTATTTCACAGCTAAACTAAAAGCCGACGCGTGCTTTTGCGTCTGCGTCGACGCACTCGTTTCAATTCATGGCTCTTAAGTCTTGCGTGTGTTGCAGAGCGATTCACCGCCAGAGCAACAGGCGGAGTGACGTGTTTTTGTTGAAGACGACCTAGAGAGTCACGTCTTATTTATTTGTTTATTTATTTATCATAGACTTCATTGCCCCGTGCGTCGCCACTGCTGCTTTTCATCGCGGACACATTTGTCCCGTATTTTCCTCCACAACTTTGTGCGCCTCTCGAACCGGCAAACCGGCGTCTGCGGCGATCTCCCTCCGTGAATCCAACCCGCCAATGACGGCGTGTAGAAGCGCTCATATTTACGCATTTCTTCCCGACAAAAGCTCTTCAATCTGATCCGTTCTCCCGTAAACATTCTTCGTTTTAATAATGGCGGTATCGGGCTATGGAAGCGGAAATGTGAGACTCCGTAAAGGACGCAGTTAGCGGACCAATCGCAGCCTGGTGCGCTGTCAAAAGCGACGCAAGCCCCGAAAAATGTCTCGACACACGCGAGGACGCGAGGAGGTGTGAAAAGCGACGCAAGGGACACGCGTCTGCGTCGCTCTGAAAACGCAGAAGCATAAACTAGGCTTAACGGGATTCTCCTGTAATTGGCAGTTGCTGTGATGAGCGGATTGGGGTCGCTGCGGTTTTCTTCGTCTCCGCGGCGTCCCCGGTTCATACCGTGCGCCAGATCAGCTCCTTTAAACATTTATCACGCCTGTGTTTTAACCAGGGCTGTGTCCCTGTGCATTGTTGAATGGATGTTTGTCTTATTGTAATTTTGTTTATTTGTTTTCCTTTTATTATAACTCTCCACTCATTTGTTTTTTTCTTCTCCCTCCCCCCCACCTTACACCTATCCTTGTCCATCCACTCGGCTACAACCCTTTAATTGATTTTTCTTTTTAAATAAAGCTGTATTTTTCTAAACCGTGAACTGCGTCTCTTGCCTCAATGAGTAAACATGTGCTTCCCAGATTATTTCTCGGGGTGAAATTCCCCGGGTGGCGTTGTTTTCTTAATTTGGTTTAATTTCCCTTTTACACCCTATCATCGCCACATCCTCTTTAGTGGAGAGTGGCGTTTTGAGGTCGTGGCAGCTGTGGCAACATCTGTGTCTGCACCCACGTCGGGGCTGACTTTTGAGCAGCAGAAGGAGCTGTTGATGTTGCAATTTCAGCAGGAGAGAATCCGGCTGAACGTGGAAACGAAGCAGAAAATTCAGATAGAAAAGATTTGGCAGAACAAAATGAAACTAGACACGCAGCTGTATACATTGAGTTTAATTTGTGACTAAGCTTTCAGTGTCTGTTCTGAGTCCGTGCGGGTTGTGTTCGATGTTGGCGCTCATTTGCGTTTAATGCCCAGATTCAATGAGAAGGATCCTGATCAGTGCAAAGGGGACTTCCTGTCACATGGCCGGAACACAACAAACCTACATCCGGTTTCAGCACGTTGCCTTTTCCCTTATATTACCAACAAACCTCAAGCGCGTTCTGTAAAAACAGAAACAATTCACCAACATGCCGAAAGCCAAGAAGTCATCGAAGAGAAAAAAGTTCGACTACAACCAGGACCGGAAGAAGATGAGGAAACGGTCCAACAAGAAATACAACCCCAGGATAGAAAAGTAAGCGAGCAGCTACACGTTAGCATGTTAGCTAATGTTGGCTAACAGCGAGCATGATGATGCCGAGGAGAAATACATATATCCGTTAATATTTAAATGTCTTGATTGCAAATACTTACTACAATGATAATGAACGTGTTTTTGAATGCTTAAATGCTGCTTCCTATAACAATGTTGTATAATTCAATTTTAGACACATGAGCGTGTACTACAGCTAACAATTAATTGAATATGGATCCGTTTTTCTTTCAATGGATTAATCATTCAGCCCGTATAAGTGTAAAAACAACATACAATTATTATTCCATGACGACTGCCCTAAATGTCTAATTCCGTCGTTACCTGGATATTTTAGGGAGATTTGATGACGCATATTCATGTAATATCGTATGCTACACATTACACGTATGATACATATTATCACAGTTCTGTACTGTGCAGTGTTGTTGTTTTTAGTCATATTGAATATACCAAGATTTAAATGGAAACAAAAAAAACCTTTCCTGGAAAAAGTTGATAGTTCTCATTATATGAAACTTTTTTTGTTTAACCAATAAATTTAGATCTACAATCACAGAGCCTGAGCCTTTCTTTCAGTCCCATGTTTACGGCGTTAAAACGTAACTTGTTTTTCACATTTCCTTTGGCTTTATCCTGCAGAAGGACTTTTGAGTGTGTACGTTTTTGCGACATTGTGCGTCTGACTTGTCCTCTCACTCAGTTCACAGATTCAAAATGCGTGGGACAACAAAAAGTCCACGGCCAAGAACCTGCTGGGTTCTGATGGGTCTGGCTTTTGATCCAAACCGCACAGTGCCAATAAAGAAAAGCAGCGTAAGTACCTGCTGTGGTTCTGTTGTAGCTTCCCTGGGGTTTTATTCATCTTGTTGCTGTTGTTCTTTTATTTAGCTCACGTGGTTCCTCTTAAACGGCGCAACACAGGCAAGCAGACTTTAATAGAGCGATACTTGGGCGTCTCCTGTCCAGACAAAGAGGCTGAGCAGCATCACCAGAAATCTGTTTCCCAGTCCAGTGACGGTTGTAATGATCCACTGTTGTGTGTCCTCGCAAAACGTCCAGTTGTACTTAACTACGCACTGGTTTGTAAAATAAATCTGTTGTTTAAATAATATTGAAGAAATGTATCCAGCAGGTTCAATTTTTAAACCCCCCCCCACCCCCCTTCATGTGTAATGAATGATTCTGTGGAGACGTGCGTGTTCATATTTCCTCGATTTGGAGCGATTCAAATGCGTGCAGAGCTTCACCGTCAGCGTTTCTTTGTTATCGGGCTTGGTGGCGTGGGCGCTCACAGGAGACGGCCTTCAGCAGCAAAGCGCTGAATGACGCTGAATGAAAACTGTGCTTTCAACACAAGAGACAAACCGATGATTTGCGTATTTTCACATTGAGTTTTAACATGCATTTTTATACCATTTGGAAGAAAATTAAAAGGAAAAATAGGAGAAAAATATTGACTGTTAAATGCAAACAAGATTCTTCTTGATATGTTTCACAACGCGAATGTTTTTGTGGCTGCAGAGTTGCAGAAAGAGGCCAACGTTCCAGAGAGAGACTGCAAGACGCTGTCCTCTGATCTGATCGAGTACGCTCAGTACATGATCCGAGAGCACAACGACGACTTCAAGGTGAGAGCAGCAGCCGGACCCGAAGGAGGCTTCTGGTCCTTCCTCGGAGAAGTGCCTCGTTCAGACGGCGTTTCAACATTCGCTTTAAAGTCCCACTCAGTCCATAACGGAGGGAATTGCGTGCACGTGGTTCTCTGGGCTACAAAATATCCTACAATAAAAAGGTTTCCACCCCTTTTAAAAGTCTGACAGGCAGAGTGAGGCACCGCTTTAGTTTAGAGGGAAATATCTCATTGTTTTACCTGTTGCTCATGAAAAGATTTATTGGATTTAATGAACAAAAAAAACCCTTGATGAATAAAACGCAAATAGTTTTCTGATCGCAGTGACATCTTGTTTTTGAAACGGCAGACAATATGGATGCAGAATATTTTGTTTTTAAAAGCATGACTTTCACACCTGGACTTTATTTATGCTCTGGAGTTGTTAGTTTGGATTATATCGGTCAGATAACTGATCTTCTGGTCTGTCTTTCTGCGCTGCGATCCATTAAACAAAGCCGATATATTGATCCGTACTGATATTTGAATCCTGCTGGTATGTAATGACCATTGGAAACCTCACTGGGGCGTCATTGTTGTCCTCTAATTCTTCTAAGAAGTTTCTCGCCACCGAAAAGGTCTAAGACAATATATGCAGCTGGAAGCAAATGAGCAGCCGTGTTGTCTGTTCTCCCTGCAGGCGATGGCCCAGGACGAGAAGAACTACTACCAGGACACGCCCAAACAGATCAAGAGGAAGATCAACGAGTACATGCGGTGCCACCCGGACGCCTTCATGGACTCGCTCGCCGCTCCGTAGCGGCGGCCCGGGGAAAAGCAGCCGAGCCGGTTCTGGACTCTCTTTTCCTCCCGCGTGTCAGGATGTCGTCGTGTAGAGACGTAGTGCGAGCGGGACACGCGTCCGGCGTGGGGATGTAGCTGATGCTCGTGGACATCTGCTACATCCCGATGGGGACGAGCTGCAGCACTCGGACCCTGTAAAGATTTCCTGTTTTAATGAATTTGTGTGTGTGTGTCAGTCAAACGTGCTTAGCCGACATGTGTTTGCAATGAAATCATTTAAATATCTCTAGGCTCACTTTGCAGACGTCACTGGCTTTCTCTCCGGGTGGGGAGGCGTTTTTTTTAAAGCGTGACGTGTTGATGTCAGAGCGAAATCTCTGCAGCGACATGTTTCAAGCTTTAGAATGAACGAGTTTGAAGTGACACCAATTGACTCGGTTCCACTGAATTCGTCAGTTGATTTTTGAATCTGAAAACAGTCTTGGCGAGGACCTAGAAGAGTTCTATAAAGGTCACAACTTGAAGTGAATTCTAAGACGTTCAATAAACCCAAACTTTTCTACACTTCTCCGCATTTCCTTTTTCCCAAAATCTATTGTAAAATAAATTAGAACTGCTGTGTTTTCCTTAATGTTCAGTTGTTGTAAAACCATTTTTTCCAGCTCCAAATCCAGATAAAATGACTTATCGAATAATTAAAGGACAAGGTCTACCTGACATATTGAGTTACTGTTTGTCTGACGTCGCAACGCGTGTTTTCTGCTGAAGAAACCTCTGGAGATGCTTCCAGCGCTCGAGGCCCGACGTTGTTGCTTCTTTCATTAGAGCACCAGTTTCATTACGGCTAAACACTGAGCGTATGCTTGTGTCGCGTGAACCTGGAACCCGTCGTCTTCGTCCTCGGCTGCTGCTGTTGAGGTCACACCCGTTATCCGCCCCACAAGGACTGGAGGAGCGAGGAGAACGTCCACCTTTGCTCTCTTATTTACCTTTTTAAGTACAGTTCAATCATTGGGGCGTTGACACCTCGTTTCCTCCGACTGATGAACTCTGCCCCACATCCACGGAGGTCAGGCTGCTTACGGAGGCCTGTAGATTTTGGTCTGTTTGCGTTTGCATCGACGTGCCCCGTCAGCACGAGGACGGACTTGTTTTCTGATTCTGTGCTTGTTATCAGAGCTGTTTTTGCAGAACGTGTGTGTTGACTACATAACTGTCGACATGTCTGAAATAAGGGGATTTTTACTTCATTTAAGACTTTGAATTCCACGCATGAAACACTGTTATTGGAGAGACTAAGGGCTCCTCATATAAATGTTACTAGTACTTCACTGCACCCTGGTAAATGACTTCGATGTGTAAAATCAGTGGAGTTCCGCAAGTCCGAATAAATCAAATGGACAATCGACCCTTTCATGACGTTTAAAAGAGAATAAAGCATAAAGCATCAGACATGCAGTTTGATTTACATAACACCTCAAAACAAGAATGACAGTCTATAGTTATAAAAAAGAAATGTACGTTACTGCAGAGCTGCAGCACATCAGAAGGAATAAAACAACATGTGCATCATAAGCAAACATTTGTGCACAGTACAGATCAGATTCTCACTCCAGATTAAAGTCACTCGCGTCTGCCTTTATACAGTCAAGGATGTGCTTCACCAGCTTCTCATTAGACGGTTGCCATTCAAAGGTTTCACAAATTAGGGCAGAAAATGCAAATGAAAAGCTGTGCAGCTGTAAATAAAATATAGAAATCCGTCCCGCCTTTTAGAGAAGGAGCTGCTGGTTTTCGTCTCTTAGGAGTAGAAGCTTCAGCGGACATTTCAGACAAAGGCCATTACTTTCCATAACGCTGCAAAAAGCCACATCCAGCCATACGGCTTCTAAAAAAGCCTTCAACGTGTGGACGGAAACACGCCTCCTTCGAACTTAAAAGTCTTTTAAGGAGACCAGACGAGGGCCCATGTTTGTGTGAGGGAGGAAAGGACGGGCAGCACATTTGCTTTAGCTTCTAAATGTGGGAGCGTCCTTCCTTTTGAACGATGACTTTGTGTGAGTCCTGTTATTATAGTTGTATGCGAAGTGTCATCGGGTTAAGAAATGTGACACTACGTAGGCTTACATGTGAGACAATGTAACTGCCATTGAGGGGTTTTTTTTGGGATTCAACGCACGGCCGAAAAGGGGAGTGAAGAAGGATTTTGGTCAATGGTTCCCTTTAAACCTCTCACGAAATCCTCAGCGAGCTTCTTCCAAACACCCACTTGATTAAAGCGCCACGCTTGTGCGCTACTGATCCCTCTCCGACCTGGCAACCTTGAATATTCCTCCATCTGCTCAACTTCACCTCTCTGCCGACGCGCAAATGAGCTTTTCGGTGAACACAAAACACGCCGAAATCTCGAGATGGATCCACAAAACGTGACACATTTACACTTGTATGAATAATCCACATGCCTGATTCATTGGCAGGAGGTGAACTTTATGAGTCATACCTCCTCCCCGCAGTGCACCTCCTCCTCCACGGTGAGATGAGCTGAAGGCGAGGAGGAAGACGAGGAGGCGCTGCCACGCTTTGCATCTTCGTCAGTGATTCCTCTGCCAGAGTTCCCTCAGCCTTCCTCTTCCTCCTCCTCTGCCTCAAATAAGCAATCATTTCACAATGAGGAAGGGGAAGGAGGAGGAAGCCCTCTATAATTCCTACTTCTCTGCTCTGGGAGGGGGGGATCAGACGAGCTGGAGCAGGAGGTCCTGGAAGGAGTCCAGGCCCCGGCAGGAGTCCCTCAGGGTGTCATCGGAGCCCAGCTGGGCGGCCAGGAGGAAGAGCTTCCTGTCCCCGGTCTCGGAGCCCAGAGACAAGGCTTCGTGCAGCTCCGACACGCTCACCGCGTTGGGCTTGTCCTGCGAAGAGGGTGAAGAACTCCGTTACGATATACTGCACGATCACATTTAGTCATTTAAATAATTAGTGGTGGTTTGTTCCTGTATTAGATATTTTGCATGATTTCATCAGTTCTCGCTGCATTTCAATATTTAGCTCATTTAATTTTCTTTATGAATAAAAATGCCTTCGTTAATAATTACTTTCCGGCCTGTACGACGGAGTTTTGTTTAAGTCAGTTACTGAGAAAAGTGAGTTAATAAAAATGTGCGTAGACTAAAAGAAATTCATAAAATCAATGCTGAACAAAAACGTGTAGCACAATCATGGTTTTTGGCAAAATGTACAGCCTCCATCTGAAGAAGTGCAATGAGTTCACAGGCAAAGATGCAACAACAAGTACAAACAAAACATCGTGTGGGAAAATGTGACAATATGAACTCTGTTGTGTCGGCCAACATAAAGCTGCGTGGGAAACATTGATCAGAGCAGTAAGCTCGGATTTGCGTGTTCTAAAAATATATTTTTGCGGTTTTGGTTGCATGAAACTGTTTCAGTGAAGCAGATGCTGAAGCTATGATGACATTATAATCTATGCCCAATCGATAGTTACACAGACCAAAGAACGCTGGAAACTTTAATCTCAGACTGATTTTTTTGGGCTGGAATATTGCGAGCAGCGCTCGCCGCACTGGACGGATAAAAGCTGCGGCGTGCTGGCAGAAGATGGGACAGAAATTCCTGCTTCACACGGAGACTCATGCATAATTCCACAGGCGGGGTGAGGAAATGTGAGCTGAGGAGGAAATGTAGTGATGTTTATTGCACGAGTCTGATTCATCACTGCCGGGTCGATGAGGCCCGTAGATAATAGATAAAAAGGTAAAAATCGGTCTTTGAGCACCTCATGTGCTTTTATCCTTTTGAAATCCTGCATCATTCTGGACCGAGACACACAGATGTAAAAGGACTCCACCTGCTTGTTTCCCAGGACCACCACGGGCAGCTGGGGCTGCACCATCAGCAGGCGGTGCAGCTCCGCCTTGGCCATCGGCAGGCGGCTCCTGTCGGAGGAGTCCACCACGTACACCAGAACGTGGGTCTTCCTCAGGTAGTCGGACCAGTACCGCCGCAGGTCCTCCCCGCCGCCGACTGCAGCGAAGCAAACGTCATCAATTCACAACGACTCTCCCTCTTGGACTTTCATGCTTTTGGCTCTTTTTGGGGTCCACGTCCATCGTATTTCCCAAGCTCAGAGTTTATTAATGTTATTTCATGGAGTTTTAAGACTTTTTAAAAGCCTTTCAGAAGGATTATGTGCATCGGTGATATTGATTTCTAACCTCAAAGTTTAGTAACTAACTTTCAACGCGTCCCAGGTGGCTTTTTATCAAAGGGTATTTTGTTACCGTGTGACAGAAGTTACATTGTTCTGGTAGTTTGATAGGAAGCAGTTCAACTGTCTCTGACAATTTCTACATATTTTCAGCTCTGTTTTTGAACAAATTTGAGATGTTCAAATTCAAAAGTGTAAAAAAAATGACAAAGGCCGCTTGTGTGTCCGGCCTCCAAGGCCTTTACCGAAAAAAACGCTTAATAATCCCATGACGAGTCTTATGAGCCCATTAAGACGCATCCAGAGAGCGAAACAAATGATTCTCTAGTTTTCCTCGCTGGGAATCACGGAGAGCTGAGCGGCATCTCTGTGGAAACATGGAGGGCCTTCGTGAAAGCAGCAGTGCTGGAGTTGAAAACGTGGCCGTACGTGTCAAGTAATCAATTTATGGTTTTGTACCGTTCTGCTGGACTAGACAAAGAGTGCTGGGAAGAGGCCCGGCTGAGACTCCTGGGAAGAGGCCCTTCTATAGGTGAAGTGATAAAAGGTCAATGAATGAACATGTGAGCTCACGTTACATCGGATACAAGTGGTGTTCACGTGGCTTTTTCCATGATTGGACAGCAATTGTTATTTTTAAGCAGGTAGCCAATCACATCGGTGTTCTAGGAACTTTCTCGGAGAGGTCTCTGCTTCTATAATATGATTCTACTACAAACCCTACGGGATTCTGCACTGGTTCCAAAAGTCAACAACCGTTTCACACAAAATAACTGTTCAGCCTGCCGCGTAGACGCACGCCTGACTGATTAGATTTGATAAAAAGGGCACAATGAGGTCCAGTTTAAACCAGAAAAAGAGGCTTGCGTTCAGTAGCCACCCGCTTTACGCCGCACACGGTCACAGGACTGTGCACGTACACAGCCTCCTTCTTAGTAAACAAACACCACCCCGCGGTGCCGGAGAAGCGACCCGCGGCCCTGATGAGCGTCCGAACGGATCCCCCGCCCGCACGCCGCCGCCTGCCAAGTCAGGAATTCACTAGTGGAGGACTTAATGGAGGATGTTGCTAGGAAACTGGGGTAGCGATGGAGGCTTTTGCTGATGCCTGCGTGGCAGTAACGAATACCTGCGTGCCCCGATGCGGTGCAGAGGTGTGAAGCAGCTGGCGTAGCCTTGTTGGGACGCACCCACAATGTGTGTGTGTGTGTGTGTGTGTGTACGAAACACAGCAGCGCCGTGTGTGTCTCTGAGTCGCGGTGTCCGAAAACACCGAGTTACAGTTCAGCCGAACGTGCCGAATCCCAAAGAAGACGTGCGTCCGGCGGCACCGGGCTGTCGCGTCAAAGTCATTTCATTCGTGTTTCCCCAGAGGCCCCTTTTGGTAACCTTGGCAAAAGCACGGAGACTTTTTGTCTCGGCAGCGGTTTGCATCGTCAGACCTCGGAGTCCCACTTGAGTGTCTATCAAGGAGGGAAGACTGAGAATGACTCATTTTGTCTTTTCATTTGGAGTAGCAGAGCAGAGCCGCCCCCCCCCCCCCCGCATGGAGGCCGATTCATGTTATTTTTAGTGCAGTGGCCTCAGGAGGAACGCTAATTAGCAGGATTCACGAGTTTGTAGGTAAATGCAATCTAACCTGGACTCATCCGCCTCGCTCTCTATCTTGCACACGTGCGATTTGATCGCCGCCGCCCCCCCCGTGGTCATTAAATGTACATCCTGTAAATATCCAGAGACATCTGCCCGCATTGCAATGCTGCGTTCTGTTTACCAGCTTCAGTCGAGCCGGGAGCTGCAGTTCTAGCTATGAAGAAAACTCGTGCATCTATTCATATCTGACCAATTAAGTCGACTCTGATTCCAATGAGAATCAAAATAACATTTCTGAAAGCAGGATTTCAACTTCCAGGTAACGGAACAGATAAGGACAGAACGGAGAGCGTCCGACATCGCCGCCGTGTTGGCCATGACGGACGCAGCGGGGCCCCCGGGAGGAAGATCGGTGCAAACAACCGTACTGTGGATGAGCCGAGCTTCCAACGAAATCCGCTCTCACCCGCCTTTTGTTTACCCCAACGCGAAAGTCGCTGCTCGCAGGGATGAATTGACGAAGCACTAAAGTTCACATTCCAGACACAGAGGCTGCAGTGTTTAACTTTGAGGTGAATATCATTTGAAAAAAAAAAAAGAAAAGGTCTTACTCTCCAGGAAGTCCAGCTGACAGGTGGGGGCGTTGAGGCTCACGAAGTTGAAGCCGCGGGTGGGCCGGCAGCGGCCTCTCTTAGCCGCCCAGCCCCCGGGGGTCAGACCCTGCAACATGCTGCTCTTCCCGGCCCCGTCCAGGCCGAGGACCAGGACCTGCCGCTTCCCGCGCTCCTCCTCCTCCCCCTCATCCTGCGGGGGGGCGTGAGCACAGAAACCATCACCGGCCGTGCAGGGTAACAACCGACGCCGCCATTCGCTCAGTTACGAAGTTAAGAGGAGCGAGCGAGCTCCATTATTATCCAACATTTTATTATTCATAATGTTCAGGAATACGGAGTCGGTGTCTGGGAAGCCTCTAGACGTGAAAGTCTGCTGGGCGAACAGCGCACGGGACCAACACGGGCTGCCGCCGCGGTTCTCCTGCTCATTTCCTCCGGGAGCAACGAGCCGCCGGAGCGTTTCCTCTTCAAGCAGCACTATCAGCACGGACTTTGTGCCCAGCGTTCAAAGGCGCGTACGGTCACCAAGATTACACGCCAGGCGTTTATCTAAAGCTTCCCACCGGACAAAGAAATGCTACGTTTTCATTTCTTCTCTTTTTTATAGATAGATAAGAACATTTCTTGAATGCGACTTTTCAGGCATTCATCTCCTGCCTCCTTTGTCAGCTCGAACGCTCCAACCGACTCTTTTTGCAACCCGAGTGGCTTCAGTTCATTTCTCATTAAAAAAAAAGCAGTGACACTGTATTGATCTGCATTGTTTTTATGCTCCACATGTGACACATTGGCCCAAACGCAAGGAAGCAGTGAAGCCAGCTCGCCTGCAGCAGCCAATGGGGGACGTAGACACGATGAGAGACGTGATGGAAACTGTGATCCTTGCACATCGTTAGTAAATTGCTGAGCCGTGACTTTTCTCAACTTCATAGTGTGTGATGAGACGATGGATATGAATCTTCGTGTCTCACTGGAACCGGCAGCAGTTTACCGAGAAATGGTTCCAAAACAAAACTCCCCCCTCTGGCGTTCGCCTCTCAGTTTGGATGAAAGGTCCAGTGTCCTCGGTCACATCTACTGCAGATTGCCTTCAAATAAAGCTCCAGAGCGAGGGTCACGCCGGTCCTCACGTCCCGTGTTCCCAGCCGGGTTTGTCCCTTCTGGGCTACCATAGAAACATGGAGGACCACCAGCTTTGTTGTGCAGATAGAAATGATTTAATCTAAAAAAAGGTAAAAACAAAAACAAAGCAGTGAATATTTGCAGGTGACGCTCTGGCTTCAGTGGTTGGGACACGAGCATCAGCTGAAAGTCGTAGGGATGTCATTGGGGTTGTCGCGTTGGGTTGTTGCCTGGTACGCACCGCCCCCCGTTGCATCATGGGAGGTACAGCTGGAGCTTGACCAATGCAAAAGCATCACAAGTGAGGATATCTTCCCTGTTCCTGCTGTGGATGCCGAGTCATTCTGTACCAGAAACAGGACTGCACTTAAAAAGGGACTCACGCCTGGAAGCAGCACATCCTCACCTCGTCCAGCAGCTCAGTCTGTTTTCTACCCCTTTCACAGATTTGTTTTGTCGCCGCGTAAACGAGCGCGAGCCTCCGCCGGCCGCCCCGCTCAAACTCCCCAAGGTCAAAAGAAAAGAAGAAGAAAAGCGCGCCGCCAGTGAACTCCGCTGCAGAGACGTGATTAAGGATGCATCTCGGCACGGTTCGGCCCTCGGGGGGGGGGAGGTGAAAACATTTGAGGAGCCATCGCGGAACGACGTTATATTGTGAGACACGGAGCGGCGCCAGATGAAGCGGGCTGAGCTCGTTACGGGCCGACTGGATGGGAAAACGAGATGAGAGACGCAGCGAACGCACCGCATTATGAATCTTCAGGCTTCTCCTCGAGTCATTCGTGGAGAGCTGTGCTGGTTTGGGCTTCAGCCACGTGACAGCGGGAGGCACATCTGGGCATTTTACAGATCAGAGACCCCTCCCTTTGCCTCCCCCGCTGGTCCAACATCCACCTGTCGCCGACTTCAGAGGAAAACCATCGCCATCACCTTTCTGTCATCATCTGTGCCCTGTGGACATCCTCTTCCTCTTCGTCACATCACCGTCTTTCCACATCCTCATATTCTCTTTCGCTTGATGACTCACCCCCTTCATCATCATCATCATCATCTACTCACCTTCCCCATCTTGTTTAGTTTTACTTCCACCCCGAAATCCATCATCTTCACCTCTAACAGGCTACTTTATAAGAAGCGTCTAAATCATCACGCCCTCCTTCATCATCATCGCTCCATTTAACAAACGTTTGCAGAATCATCTTAGTAATTATCATCATTCCCATTGACCATGTGTGACCATCACATAATCAGAGCCATCATCTTCATCTTCCTCTTCAACCCCAGCCATTGGCACGTCAGTCAGTCATGAGCAGCATACTCTTCCTGCTCTTCACCATTCCCATTGTATTGCTTTTAAATACCACCTTCATCATCCTCACCACCACCACCACGCCGCCAGCTGCCACTTATTCACCATTAAGCGTCATCATCATCATCTTCTTCATCATCCTCACCACCACCACAACCACCATCTCCATCGCATTCATCCCGTCAGATGTGACGTCACCCCCTCCGCGCCCAAGTTAAATAGTTTTCAAATGGCAACTATCCACAGACAAGCAACACAGACACGTGAAAGCAAAAGGTACCGGATCCAACCTCTTTGATCGCGCGGTACTCCGCGTGCGGGGACCACGTTCTCCTCTTGTAGAAGAAGTTCAGGGCGATGAAGAGCGCGGAGCCCAGCGCGGCCACGGCGGCGGTCAGCGCGAAGGAGATGTGCCGGAGGAGAACCATGTGTGCGGCGCGCGGAGCCGCGAGGAGCCGGTGGAGGGGGTGGAGGATGGGGCGGGAGAAGGGGGTGTGAATAGGGCCATTTGGCTCTCCAGCCTGATCTCTGCTGCCGCTGGAACCGAGTGCTGCGCCTTCCTCTCGGCTGCATGTGACTGCGCGCCCCCCCGCTTGTTTCGTTTGAGGGGGAAAAGGAAGAATGCCACGTTCAAGGGCAGCTCGTGAACTCCGCTTGCGCGCTGGACTCCTCGGTGGGAGGAGACAAGAGCGCAATTTGAAGAGGGTTCAAAGGGTGCGTGTTTTGGCTTGGCTTAAGGGCAAGTCTGTACTCAAAATACGTAGTCACCGTGATGCATGCTCCTGTAATCAGAATTACTAGTAATTCCGCTGCAGTAGAAGCGCCACTAACAGTTATGAAGTTATGGACTAACTGACAACCAAACCCTGCCAAGGTTTGTGACATCAGTGCTAAAGGTGTGACCGGAAATCTAAAACTACTTTAAAGAGTGAGTGAGCAGTGCAGAAGGCGGTTTCATTGTTTTTCTTAACTAATATATATCTATAAAAGCAATATACGTCATCTTCCGTTTAAAGATGATTTTGATTCGTATCACTTCTCTTGGTGATTTCACAAGTTTCACTGCAAACACTTATAATTATATAACTCTCTTTTCAACATTCCATCTCACTTCAACAACTGGGCCAACCAGCAGGTTATGTGACATCATCACTGTATTCAGCCAATCACGGTCCAGCATGCCGACAGGATATTTTGTTTGTTTTTTATATTCAGAGTTGTTTCAGTTTTGTGGGAATCCCTGACTCTAAACTCAAGACACGGAGACAATCAGATTCGATTGATTGATACGAAGAGGCACAGAGTTGTGACCTTTAAAAATGTAATACTGTAGTAATATTAATCAACAATAACATTTAATCTTAATTCGAGTCTACCGCTTTTGTAGGCTCGTGTTTGCCCGTTGTAATATTTCCAATAGCACCTGAAGGCATCGGGAGCAGCAGAGCTGCCAGTCAAACGAACTGTCTATAAACCCATCTATTAGGAGCAGAACCACAGACTGCATCGGGCCAGAACAGGGGGTTGGGTCTTTTTTCTTGTTACTAGATATTGAGATATACTTTTAAAAGATCTATACAAGACGTAAAATAAACAAAGTAGGGTAATGTAATCCTAATGGTGTCATTGTAAACTAGAAGTCAAATGTTGGTACTGCTGCATCAAGAGTTATTTTATAAACTCTGTATTTGCACTCAAGATTCATTTTTGAACCTTGTTGATTTTATTCCAGTTATTTATTCATACTAATTGAACAACTTCAAAATGATTCTCATGACACTAAAAAAAGAAATGTTTAGGCACGTATGTCTATCTTTCAAGACAGGAGCTTAAAAGATATATTTTTTTAATTGTTATTTTGATTTCCTCCAACCATTCAGATTTTTTTCTTTTTCTTTTCAAAGAAGAGCAAGGCCAACTTCTTAGAAAAAAAACTGCTTTATTATTACGTCAGAAAGCCATGACAAAAAGCTGCAGTCTCTCTGTCTTCTTCTCCTTCTCCTCCTGAGAGGAGACAAAGGTGATATATATATATATATATATATATATATATATATATATATATATATATATATATATATATATATATTGCTCTTCAAACACCATCTGGCCTCTCACTCACCACTCCACACAAAGATATAAATAAATAACACCTGGAACACACAGCAGTTGAGGGAGTATTTCATTGTTAAATAAATAATCCATTAATTTAAAATCTTTGAAAATGTTACTTTATTGGTAAAAATCAGGGGAATGTGATCATAAAAAGGTCTGTCATAACTGGGGTATAGTTATAGGCTAGATAACATTAATATTAAATGCATTCATTTAAAAGCAGGATTCGAATTGGTTGATGTGGACCTCATTTTGAACTGTAAATCAAACATTATTCTCATTATGGATGAGTCTGCTGATCATTTTCTCCATGAATTCCTTGTTTTGGTTTGTAAAAGAGTGAGAGAGTGAAAAAGGATGTCACAGTTACCCGGAGTCCAAAGTGACACCTTCAAAGTGCTGTTTGGTCAAAGCCAACAGTTCCTTCAGTTTCATTATAGTTCGTAAGAGGTGCCTGAGATGTGTGAAAACAGATTTGAGGTCGGCCTTCAATGCTCAGTGGTCAGAGGATCCATTCGGCGGTTCAGCACGTTGACCTCTGGAGGGCGCTGCGATCCTGAAAGTGTGTTGATACAGAGATCCTGGCCAGCGGACTATTTCAGAAAACGCAGTGTTTATGTGAAAATAACTACACATACATACATAAAACAGAAGAGGACGGGTTGACACTCTATACAACTACCACGACCATGAGATACAAAGGAACATTCTACAAAGTAAAATAATCACTAATAGTTAAATACGAAATACAAGTGATTAATATGCTTAATACCAGCCATAATACAATCAAAGAGCCCATGTATGTTTCGTGTGTTTAAAACAATCAGTTATTCTGAATATTAAAAGTGGGGCCGGAAGTTTCATGTTGCTGCCTGAGCTTGTCAACACGGGAATTTATTTTGAAAGAACAACCGGAAGCGACGGCGAATATACGTAATTAACTTAACCGCGGTCGACCGGCCGAAGTCATCGGGACTCGGGGAGAGACTTTACCGCCGCTGCCGCCACAACCGCTTCCCTCCCCGTCCGGTTTCAAAGCGGATACTTCCACAAAGATGACATAGAAGTCTCCTCGGGGATTACACCGGATTTCGTCGGCCGCAGCGCCCGGTTGTGACTTCGCGTTAGTTCCCTCCCTCGCCGGTGTTCACGCCGTTCGTTACCCGGCTGCGGGCCACTAGCGTCGGTTACCGCTGCCAAACATGGTGGCCTGTCGGCGAGAAGAACAACCGAGTTCGCTTTGGGGATTTTAGATTTGTTTTTTTTAAAGGACTTGGACGGCTCTCGCCGTGGAGCCCCCGCCGCCCCGGACACGTTACTGCTCCCCCCGTTTTAACCTTTGTTTTTGTCTCTCCGGGAGGTTAATGGACTTCGACGCGAGGCTGGTTGTTCGCGTTGAGAACCGAGCAGCAGCGGGACCAGCACCGACCGAGGACCGTTGAACTTAGTTTGCTTCCAAAAACAAGTCCGAAGTTTTATGCTCGATTTGAGATTAAAAAAAGAAAAAAAGTTCCAATAACATTCACTCACTATTGTAGGGACAAGTTGCCTAGCAACACGGGTCGGCTTTTATGACCGTTGTGTTCCTATCACGTGCGACTAGATTGACACACAATTAACCGCTGCAACTATCTGACCGGTTCCCACTTTGAGGTTTGATTCCTTGTTTAATCTGTGGATTATTATGGATTATTTAAATGGCCTAATCCAAACCGCATCAGACCGGGGATTTGGGGAATAGCTGCCGACGCTGCTGATGATGACCGAGAAAAGCGATGGTTTCCCTTCGTTATGATTTTGAGTAGAGAGGAGTTAATTACATGGAGACTCGCCTGACATGCCAAGGAAGGAGTTGCCACTACCTGAGGGTTGGGAGGAAGCCAGAGACTTTGATGGCAAAGTCTACTACATTGACCACATCAACCAGTGCACGAGCTGGATCGACCCGAGAGACAGGTAGGAGCGTGCGTGTGTGCGTGCGTGCGTGCTATGGATATGTTGGAGCGGGCTACTGTTAAAAAAAGATGGCTGACCTTTGACCTTCTGCAGATGCTGACCTGTAACTGCACTTGCTGCTCCTGCAAATAAAGACCCTGTTCATGTCACGTGACAGTCTAACTGCTTCATGAATGAAGCCCACAGATCAGCAAAGCATTGCTTCATTTGTGTCCCAATCATCCATCAATCCTCATTTATTGGTATCAATCATAATCCCAATGGACTGCAAAAGCAATTACATAATAAGTAGTATATGTTTTTACATTGGTTTTCCTGATCAGTTGTAGCTGTCGTCAGTCGCTCATTGTAGTTCGCAACTTCGCAGCAGGTTCATAAATAGATGTATATATATTAATATATAAAAAATAATATACTAATATAATATTCATTAATAATTTAATTAAAAAAATGCGCAGATTCAAGACAACCAGGAGGAATTAAACCACTCATGTCGAAAAGACTCAAAGGAAGCAGAGAATAGTTCCATAGAGCTTTTTACATTCATCTTAAAATATTACTTATAGTCGCAGGAACCAAGAGACAAATGTTGTTCTCCGTTCGAGTCACGTTTACCGATGGAGCTGCTTTTCCTGCAAATTAAAACATGGCTCTGCATTATGGATCATCATTCATATTGTTCAACCAGTCCGAACCCCCCGCCCCCCCCCCGAGCAGCCGGACTCTGCGATGTGTTTGCATTTTTGCTTCAACAATTATGCCAAGAGTGGCCTGTAATAGATGCCTGAATGAGGCCAGAGAGTTTGTCTCAAACCGACGGGGGATGAAGATGCTGAGTCAGCCCCCCTTCTGAAACCAGACACACATGTTCGGCTCGTTTATCCCTCTCTCTAAGCTCTCATGACCCGTCACCCCCCCCCGGGTCAAGCTGTCTGGGATACGCATCAGCCCGAAAAAAATGTGTCACAAAAAGAATGGTACGCTGTTGTAATGCCTGTGTTGCATCTGCTTTTTAATGATAAGCCCGCCAAAATATTTATTTCTACCATCCCACTAATGATGGGGGCAAAGGTCACTCATTACGGTTGATTCTCTCGCTAAAAAAGACCTATTATTTAATGTTTCCAACGTTTCGACTGAGAGAATTTGCTGCTAAAAGATTTTTGGTTGAACGAAACCCACTTGAATATGGAATTGATTCTTTGTTTTGGCCCAAATGTGTTGGCAATGCACGGGAGCAGGTCAGAAGGGATAAAACTAATAAGATGTTTAAGATAAATCCTTTCCATTGACCGCTGACAGCCTTACTCACTGACACTTAACAGCAGAGGACACGCGGTGGTTTTGCTCAAATTGTTGGTCTGCGTGAGGCTGGAAACGTCTCCGAGTGAGATGGATTCTTATTGAGAACTCTCCTGCAGGAATGATGTCTCTTTCTTTTTTGAATTGAATTAGAAATTCAACCTTGAAGCCAGTCGGCATCCTTCTCATCAAGAAAGATTTTCGGGGGAAAGAACGCGTTAAGGAAACACTCGTGTTATTATTTAGCGCGGCTGTGCTACACGTCATCTACACCTCACGTTTTTTAAGTGCGCTTCTCTGCCAACCTGGTTCGTTAAATTGGATGAACAGTATGTGGGTTGTTTTTCTTCTTCTCCGCCGTGCGTTTCCCAGGATGCACTCCTTCTTTATTTACATTCCCGCCATCCCGATAAATCATGTTTCTGCAGGTGTGTCACCTTCTTTTCCTTATCTCTCTTAAAGAAAGCCGTCGGTGTGATGGGCTTAGAGTGCTAAGCTACGGCGCTGCGTGACACAGGGAAAGGGGCAGAGCGTATTTTAATGGCGTGGGGGGGCTCATTTTTCATCTACACCAGTTCCCTAAGACCCCTCGGACTTTGACACCAAATCCCTTTAATGGCTTATGTCTGGAATTCTGGTAGCTTAGTGTGTTTTTGTGTGTGCGTGTGAGAGAACACGTACATTTTCTCCTTGTTGCTTTAGGTTTACTTGGTCTCTGTATTGTCTTATGGTTTTATGTTCATGCCGCTATCAATTATTATTACAATTATTTACCAATTCATCACTCTGCTCATAACCAAGTACCTTTTTATCTAAGTGTTGAATATTAAACATATTTTACCCTCCCATAATTCCCATAAACGTGATCTGCCAGGTTCTTTTCTCGCTTAAAGATACATTCCGGCCCACAAAGTTTTGGGTTGAGTGAAGTTGGTGAATAATGTTGGTTAAATAAATAAATAAATATATGTTAGAAGCCACGTTCTGCATGTCACATCCCAGCCGATGTATCTGCCGATCCTGCATCAGGGCCTTGTGTTTGTGTTCTCTTTTTATTCGCGAAGGGTCATTGAGTTTAAGGGTGAATGAATGAAAACTCTCAGTGCTCTTTGGGTGTGAAGACTAACCAGGTCGGTCCAAAGCACAGGAATACAGGATGGGCAAAGGACCTGGACTTGAATCCGGGCCGGATGCTTTACCTCGTCACCTGACTACTCGCTCCGTCTCACTCCAGCTCCTCTGGAGGTTTGAGGAGATGTGGAACACGGAGTAGAGAGGGGGCGCCGGGAACCGCAAGGTTGGCCGTTCAAACCCTGCCCGCTCCATTTTGAACCCCAACCCCTAGCTGCTCCCCGGGCAAATGTAAACCTTGGGTTAAAGATGCATTGTAAGTCATCGTCATTGTAAATGACATGTAATGTAATGTTTGGCAGCGGGAAAGAGTAGGAGCCCAAAGTCCTTAAAGAACAACAGCACATTCCTGCGACCCACCGTGGAGGAGCGTGCGGAGCCTTTTCACTGCGTGCCAAGGTACTCGGAGTCAAAGTGCAGCCCTGCACAGCGTCCCCCGGGATCCCAACAGAGGAGCCGTTCTTTAATACGTAACCGAGCGCACTGTGCACGGCGACACGCAACCTGAAGCGTTTCTTTCACTAATGCACATTTATCTTTACAGCGTGTTGCTTTCAGTCCATTTGTGACCTTGCATCCCGAGCTGAACCAATGAGTCACCACGTGTATTTAGCCAAGATGCTTCTTCGGAAAGATCACATTATTTCCTGCTTATTTAACTCGTCACTTACAGGAATGACCTTTTGTCGACAGGTTTTTACAGCTTATTATCCGCCGGGGCAAGAAAGGAACTAATTAAACTACTTCTACATCACACGGCCCGAGAACTTGTTTGAAAGGATCCTCTGCGGGAAGAAGCAGAAGTTCCCAGAGAAGTAGAACAGATGCTGAGGAGACGCATAAAAGAAATTCAATGTCTGCTTTGAATGTGAAAACCATCTTATTATACTCCGGAATGAAGAAAGACAGCAAGCCTTTATCCTGACTCTGATCCCTCTCGCTGTGTCTTTATTTGAATATCTAATGTATCTGCTCATCACGTCCACATCGTAGTGCTGATTTTATGTGAGAGATTCTATGACGGCCGCGTGTTTTCTTTTTTTAGACATCACTTATTTGCGTGCCGTTCGTTCTAACCAAACGCCTCCTAAAAAACAAAGACCGACCTCATTTTTAAGACATTTGGTTTCTCAGTCATGCAGCCGTGATTAAGGAAACACAAACTAGAACTCCCAGAGATCGAGACCGAGATGAAAAAAACTAAAATGCCAAAGAGTCCAGCTCAGGATGTTTCTATGAAGAGATAACATCTCTGCGTGACGCACGCGTCGCATGACGTCAGCTCAAAGGAATGTTACCGGGAAAAACGCGCCGCCACGGCCGCCCTAATTAGTCCCCTTCATGATAAATACACATTTGTGTGCTAAACATACTGGGTTACGCTGTGACAGAGAGACAGGTGTGTGTGTGTGTGTGTGTGTGTGTTTCATTACAGTTGGACCATGACACCTTATGAAACATAGTTGGAGGCCCTGTTGCTGGACTTGAGGAATTTACACTCCGCTCTGAATGGAGGTTTCTCTGACTCACCGCTCACAAATGCAGCTCTCTCTCTCTCTCTGTCTCTCTCTCTGTGCACTCTGCTGCACGCTTTGTCAGTTTGCATTAGAGTGCCGCGGCCGGCCTCGCTGTTTACCTTGGTATGTGAAACCTGGGGGGGTGTATCTGTGTGTGTGTGTGTGTGTGTGTGTGGTGGGGGGGCTCTTGGCCTTGCGTGATGTTGCGTTTTTAAAGGCAGAAACCTGCACCTGTGTGAGCGTCCCGCCAATTAATTTCTCGCTTCCACTTTAGTGCCAAAACATCCCAAGAACTGTTTGCCAAGAGTTATTTCCTCAGATAAGCTTCTTATTAGAAAACATGCACACGGTCATGTGACGGTCTCCAGGGCAACGCCATAATTTGATGTTTTAGCAGTTATGTAACGCAGAGTTCGCCACTCGAGTAGGAGGTCAGACATCCGCGTTAGGCTTTTGGTCGAAAGGATAAAATATGCCCCCCCCACGTGGATGCGGGGGGCCCGCAGCCACCGACGAGGAGGACAGGAGATGAAATGACGGGAGGAGGATACCGGGCTTCTTTTTCCCCGGGACGAGCGGCTGGCGAGTCGCTGAGCTAAATTTAGAGCTGAGGGGGTCTCCTCCGGGGGCCTCTTCCATTATTCATCCGCTGAAAAAGGAGCCAGTTCAGTTTCTCTCTCTCTCTCTTCATTTGTACATACAGGCACGAATGAACCACACCGGAGGAGGAAGAGCGCGTTACTGCTGCCCCCCCCACAGTCATGAAATCAGTGAGAGCTGCTTCTCATGGCGTTTGTGTGTCACTGAGGAAAGCAAAGGTTTGCCGTTGGGTTTAGAACCATTAATGAAGCCATACTTTTGGCGGTTTGAGCCTCTAGTGGACACTTTCAAGAAATCAACACCATTAAATTGGCGGTCAAATATTAAACGTGCGTTTCTAAGCGGCGGGTGGACCGCTGGGCCTCCGATGGTCTGTTTGGCTGAAACGCCAAAGCTCAGAGAATCACTCTTTAACATCACACTCAGATCTGCAGCTCGTCATGTTGTCCGTGAAAATAACCGCGTGACATCTGGCTGCAAATTCCGTCAAAAAGGTCATTAGCCGCCTCCACAGTTACGCGTATTCTCTGCCTCTTTGCCGTCAGTATGAGGGGCTTTGTTTGTAAACTCTTTTTGTGGGACTAGAACACACACACACACACGCCGAAATAAGTGAGTTGCTTCTCACGTCCCCGTTGATTTTACCAGCTGTAGCGGTCGAGATTAAACCAAATAATAATATATGCAATATAAATGATAAACAAAAACCTCTCTTGTGTTGGGTGTCCGGGCCGGAGCGGTGTGTGTGTGTGTGTGTCGCCCCTGTGAGGCTGAGGGTTGCCCCAGAAACCTCCAGGCGATGCGTCAGCGCCGCTTGTGGAATGCCGCGGGCCGGTTTCCTCCTATTGTGACCGGGTAGAGAGACCCTCCCACCCCCCCTTCTCCTTTTCTTCTTTTCCCCCCTTGGAGGTGAATAGAGGACTTGGTGAAAGTACCCCACCCCCTCCACTCACTCGCTTTCTCCCCGCGACCCCCTTTCAGCGGCACGGAGCTGCTTTTGATTGAGTCCGGATGTTTTAGTTGGGTCATTTTTTCAGCCTTCTCCAGACGCTATGATAGCTGCAGCATCGCGTCGCATCGGCCTTCGTGGTGCATTTTGAATTCAAGCTTTTCTAAACATTTTCTAAACAATTGGGGCTCCAGAAGAATTATTTTCAAAGAAAATTGATCTGAAAATGGCATCCCAATTTCCCAAAGCTTGAGTTTGTTTGACCAACAGCCCAAAGTCACATTTGAGAAGCTGCAACCAATTACAGTTTGTCCACCAATGAATGATTTGTTGAAATTCATGACGTGAAAGTCCTGTTGATGAAGCAGCGTTCCTCTTTCCTCTGCTTTTCACTCGGCACATCTGTGTGTGTGTGTGTGTGTGTGTGTGTGTGTGTGTTATTAAATTATTTCATTGATTGATACACAATGCAGCTAAAATGACTTCATAATGACACCAAAATCTAAATAGAACTGCAACAGCAACTGTCCGTCTATTTATGAACTATTTAAAGCTGACTCTCTACAATAGTTGGCTTTATCTGTTGTGCCTCTCTAGTTGTTGAATTTTGAGTGGAAAGTTTATTGTACAAGTACAGAGACACACACACACACACACACACACGCGCGGCATGAAGCTCATGGGAGTGTTTAGAGTTTCTGTTGTTTTGAGGTGAAGGCACAAATGTCCTTGTACCAGTTTGGACACATTTTAATCCATTTGTTAGGTAACATAGGTGCGCTTCCGTTATATTATACCTGAAGAGTAATTTGTTGCAAAGCCGCCCAGTTAATCGCACCAAACGTCACACACACACAAATTACGCAGATTCCATTTATTATTCAACAGCCTTGGATTCCTCACCTGGGGGGCCTGCATGTGGTAGTCACACTTGGACATGTTTCCATCATAAATAACATGTGTACAGCACAAATAAACATGTGTTCAGCATAAATAAACATTTTTGCAGCACAAATAAACATGTTTGCATCTTAAATAAACATGTGTACAGAATAAATAAACATGTTTGCAGCATAAATAACATGTTAACCGCATTAATAGCTGTCGGCTCAAGCTGAATTTTCATATACAATTCAGTCCATGACAAAGTTCTGCCCAAACAGCATCAGGTTTTTCCGTCAAAGGGGAACTTATCGCCCATGTGTTGCTCGTATTTCATTTGATATTCAATAAGAAGAATTTACCCACAATCCTTTGGAAATCTCCACCCGTTGTTGGTGATTTGTTCTGCCTGTCATGTCCCGTCTGGCTCCACTGATGTACTTTCCTCCGATTGTTCCTCTCCAGGCACACGAAGCCTCTGACGTTCGCCGACTGCATCGGGGACGAGCTGCCGGTCGGTTGGGAGGAGGCCTACGACCCGGCCGTCGGAGCGTACTATGTCGACCACAACACCAGTGAGTGAACTTTGACCTTCGAGAAAACCCGGCGCTAAGTTGTGTTTGGCCCCTTCGGAAAATATCCGGCGACCGTAACTTCACCACAGAGATCGACGCTGTGAATATGAATATGCTCGTCTTTTTTATGCCCCGCCCCACAGAGAAGACCCAGCTGGAGGACCCGCGGGCCCAGTGGCAGCGGGAGCAGGAGTTCATGCTGCGGGACTACCTGGCCGTGGCCCGCGACGCGCTCAGCGCCCAGAAGGAGATCTACCAGGTGAAGGAGCAGAGGCTCCGCCTGGCGCAGCAGGAGTACCTGCAGCTCAACGACGCCTGGAGGGACAAGTCCACGTCCCAGACCAGCTGTGAGTACGAGAGTGTGTTATTGTGGCCCCCTGATGCAGTGTGGGGGACTCAGGAAAGTCAATTGGAAATAATACAACTTTCAGTAATAACTCTTCATGCATGTAGGGAGGAAATGCCAATGATAATATTAATGAAAACATTCATAAATTCTGGAAGAAATGTGTTTTAAAAAAAGTATTAAGATATTGAACGAATTATAAATGAAAGAATAGAAAGAACAGAAACATCCAAAGGAGTAATTAAAAAAAAAATATTCAGGAAATCTAAAGAGCCAATTTCGATTAAATTAAAGCGTTATAAAAAACTTTATTTAAAAAAGAACAAAGTTATTCAATTAAATGAAAATCCAAAGGTGGACGATATTTAGAAAGTAAAGTTTTTATTAAAGTTCGGTGAAGTGTCAGAGAGAGCAGAGACACTTTACTTAATGTCTGTGTTGGTGACTCTGTCTCTTGTTCTGTCATCTCACTGGGAGAGACCCCAATGAGGGAAAGATATAAAAGACCATTCTTTGACTTCTCGTCTTTCTTTTTCCTGCAGTGAATTCCAGATCGTCGTCGTCCAGCAAGTACGACCCGGACATCCTAAAAGCAGAAATCTACACGGCCAAAAGTCGGGTAAGAGCCAACCGGATCTCAGGAAATGGACCCATTCCCGTCACCACTGATTAATCCACTCCCAAGTGAATCACTATAAAATGTCAGGAAATAAAATAATCAAGTGGCCTGAGACACCGAAGGACTCACACATTGCTGGTTTGGTGGTAATTTATTGGCTTATTATTATCATCATTCAGGTGAACAAGCTGAAGCGCGACCTGGCCTGCATGAAGCAGGAGCTGCAGTTCAAAGAACAAGGCTTTGAGACCCTCAAAGGGTAAGTGTCCGACCTCCTCACACAGGTAACCAACACCGAGAGCATCGGTATCTTCACAGCCGACTGTGGGATGCGATCCTGCCGCTTTACGCCGCCTCCGCCCACCGTCATTTTTCATTTGACGAGCAAAGCAAGGCAGTGAGAATCTGACCTGAATGGCAAGTACACGTTTGACCTTCCCCGTGTCTTAAAGATGTATCTTCTGCCAGCAGAACACGCTTACTGAGTGCCTGAAGCCCTCTCCGGTTCATGTAGCTGTATATGTATATTAAAACATGGAAACATCTCTTTTCAGCAAGTACTTGAGAAAATGTTTACAAGCCTCAATTTTGGCATTTTGGTCGTTGCTATCTTGGTTTTGTGGAGCCGAGTGGGTGGAGCTTTTTACAACCGAATGCTGAATTTGTCATTTGTAGGCAACAAATAGCTAAATTCATACTTACAATGTTTACTGAGGTAATAAATAAAGTGAGAAGTAGACACATTTTCTCACAGTCGTATACATTAAACTTAATTTATATTCAATTGAGTTATTAGAAAGAATTGCGTTTCAAGTAACGTCAGTTTTGTCTTCACTTCTTAAAACCGGCCGTTCCAAAAATGCCGTTTAAAGGATAAACTGACAAAAGCAACTGTCTTCAGAGTCCTCTTTGCCGCTTCCTACCAACTCTGCCCACCAGAAACCAGTGAGAATAGATAGAACAGATTTGTATGTCGGACGAGATGTCGTACACCTGCATTCGTTTTCATTGTGGGACAAAAGAAGAAAGGGACGCCACTTTCCTGTTTCACCGAACAAAGATCTTAACAACAGAAAAACCACTTGAAGGCCGTCCAAGCGATTTCTCCTCTGCTCCCTCTGACGTGCTCCTTCTTCAAAAAAGCCAGCTCCGCCGTCTCGTTATCTATGACTTTATCACTCAGGCATCGCAGGAATATCCCACGGAGCAAAGACTCCCTGAATCTTTAGCGATTTGTGGAATTTGTCAGATGAGAGCTCATTTTGAAACCTCGGTGCGGCGCGGTCGCTATCACCTCAGCTATTGCCTCGGCTTTATCGCACATTCCATCTGGTCATGAAACAATAACCCCTCTATAAAAGCGCCAATGGAACAACGGCAGACGAATGTGGATTTTACTGGGAAACACCCATTCTATCTGACCTACTTCCACTCCTTGGAATATCAAGTGGGTTCGTCAAGGTGTACCAGAGAAGCCATTAGTAGGGAATGTTGATTTGAAAGGGATTCCTCCTCCTTTTTGTTCTCAATGTCAGGCTGCTGTCAGGCTGATTTTCTTTCTTCATTTTTTCTTTTCTTTTTTTTTTTTTTTTTCAATTCACCACAACGAAAAGCCGACGGGCAGATCCGCCGTCGGTTTGCGCTGGTTGGCGGAGGAATGTCCGGTGTGTTTGTCTCGCCCCCCGCGGCGCAGTGAAAGTGTCGGGAGGATTAAAGGGCAGTCGGACGGCATTCCTCCGTCACTTTCCTCTCCGGTTACAGTCGTCAGACGCCACTCGCCGACCAATCGCTGGTTTGCAGAAATGCCAATCGGCTCAGGCTGGAATGCAGCGGGGACGCTCTGCTCCTGTTGAGGTTTCACTAAATACTGCGGCGGTGTGTTCTGGTTGGTAGAACAGAAAAAGGGCCGATAATGTGTCCCATACTGAGATCCGCTTTGTTTTTCTAGAAGTTTCCACAAGATGAGTGTATAAGGCCAGAGAGAACATGTGCTCTCCTCCAGTGTCTCTTTCATAGTTTCCTCTGATCTTTGTCTTTTTAATATGTGATGTAGTGGAAGATTTTGTTTTGGTTCTATAATTGTTGGAGATGTACGGTGTCAATGTTTCACAGGAAAACGTCATTTACTCGCACTGGGACTCTAAGCTTGTGTTAACCACACACTGGGCTCATGGATCCAACCAGAAAACTAAAAAAATATAAGCAATCATTGACTTCATGACGAGGGAACAGGTCGTTTGACAATGTTGAATCGTTTCCAGGTTGTGGGACTTATTTCTGCAGCACTTTATACCCCCCCATGCAAAGCCAGCTCCATACAGAAATAGGGAAGAGCTGGACGAGCCTGAACAGAGCCTCAACCACACAGCGGTGAGTCAGGCCTTAGACCCAGCCTGAGCCAGGCCTTAGACCCATCCTGAGCAAGGCCTTAGACCGTCCTGAGCCAAGCCTTAGACCCATCCTGAGCCAGGCCTTAGACCCAGCCTGAGCCAAGCCTTAGACCCACCGTCAGATAGCAACAGGGTGGTGGAGTCACAGGAGTCTGAAACCGTCCAACAGAAGGCCGATTCTTCTTTTTTGATCTTTCGTATTGGAGAATAAAGAGCAGCATATCTCGGCCAGTCACGCACACAGGGAGGGATTCCATGATCCGGGATAAGGGCACTTAAGAAAAGCAGATGTTTGAGCAGAGCAGGTGAGGTCACGACTCCTCCCGGCAGTATGAACACTGTAGTTATAGTGTGGAACTGAGTCGGGCTGAGTCCGTGTCTCTCACATGTCTCTTTCCCTCCGTTATCGGAGAGAGGCCATTGCGATTCTAAAAAAGGTATAACACTGTTTTCTCTCAGCATAAATCCCTGTTTGAGAAGGACTTAGGGAGGATTACGTGTTCTTTCTGCCTGTTACAAACAAGTGCCTCCCTCTCTCACTTCCTCATTCTCTCCGTACCTTGTTTTCTCTCTCTCTCTCTCTCTCTCTCGATCCAAACCTCCCTCCCCCCCCTCTTCCCTCTCTGAAGAATGTGAAAGGACCTGTTATTCAGATGCATGCATGACTAGCTGATTGCAGGCTTTACGTAGCTGCTGCTGCCTCCGATGGCCGATTCCTGCAGCGACTCTTTTCTGTCTGTTTCTCCTCGCTGCAACAAAAAAAAGGCCGGATCTATTGCGGCCTCACCAGAACTTTCGGGGTGAAGCGAGCATTCAATCCTGCACTAGAAACCGGTTGGGAAGCGCGCCCGTCGCGTACACAAAGTTTAACCGTGAAATGAACTTTGCCTACGCTTTTAGCATTGTGGCTTCAGGCCACATGGAGACCTGTGCTGTTCAAACAGCTGATCTCACAATGTGCCCGTTCTTTGCCTCCCTACGTGAACCAGCTGACACGACGGAACACCTAAAACGTATTGATAATTACTGATGCTCTTTCTATCTTGTTTATTTATGTGTTTGTTTGGGGTTTGCAAACTCTACTACTTCTACTGTTTACTGGCAGATAGTCATGCGGACCGCTCACCAAAATACGCTCCAGTTGAGTTCATTCAAACCAGTTGACGGTTATATTCATGTTTCTATTTTTGCAACATTGCAACGTTTCGCTCAAGTTTCCCCCTAACAAGTCAACACCACTTTTGACATTTCTTACTTTTTTGCTGTCAAAACGACATGTATGCATGTCAACCCCAACCCCCCCAGGGTATGTGCATGTCTGAAGAACATCTCATAGAAATACTTTCCTGCCTTCGAGTTGTTAAAAAGTCAAGAGTTGATGGGTTTATTTTAGATAGAAGGCAAAAAAAAGTAAGAAAAAGGAGTGTAAAAGCCAGCTGAATGTGCAGCTGTCCATTGTACTGGTGCTGAGGCTGCAGGTTTCCAAGCTTTAACTCATCAAGGTTATTTCACCTGGAGGAGGTGAACTAGAAATAAGCTGGTGCAGCAATGCATTTGGAGAAAACTAATGAGTTGCATATTCAATGGTTTATTCTTAGAACAATGAGACAATGTTGTTTATTGGCTGTTTATTACAAAATACGATGTTATTACTTTTTTTCCAAGGGTTCACTGATTGTTTAAAATAGTGCAGCGTTCGCACCGTCCTTTAGCTGAACCCAGTTCCCTGTTAACATTACGATAAAGAGCAGCTCATTAAGAGTTAATCACCCGATTATCTGTCTGACAGCGAGACAGGGGACATCGTGACAGGAGGAAACCTTCTGCTACCTACATTGTTCTCAATCACCGTCAAAACTGCCCCCCGTATATCCACCCCCCCCCCCCCCCCAGGATTGACCTGAAGGTGTCCAGCAGCCCTCATGGCTTCAAGCTGCAGGAGGCGCAGACCATCCTCAGCGAGGTCCGCACGATCCGTGACGCCATCAGCACCGGGGAGAAGGAGAAACAGGAACTCATGCAGGTAACACTTCCGTTGGGATGGAGGGAAAACAAACTCAAAAATAAGAAAGAACAAACCGATGGGAGAGTGTCTTCATCCCAGGTATAACAGAGCCCCCTGAATCCCTTCAATGGAGAGATTGAAATGTGACCACGAACCACAACTCCGGCTTGCTTATCCCAACATGCACTTTATAGTGAGGTACAGCTGCACTCCCGTCGTGGCAGGCGGTGATTTGTGGAGTGCAGTAAGAATAGGAAATGAGTGGAGCGCGAGCGAGGAGATGAGGGTTTCAGACGACTCCCAGGAGAGACTTTACTCCGGCGTTAACACCCGTCTACGTTATATTGCGGTGAGAAGTAGGTCCAGATGTGGTGAAAGGCAATTTAGCGACTCGCCGAGAGCGGCCGAGGCCGCAGGGAGGCAGCTGTGGTTTTAGTGTCGCGCCTCGGTCGTCTTGACGACGGGCCGTCGAGCTCTCTCAGGAGGAAGCGAGATGTTTAACTGTATCTAGGAAACCTACTAGCTCAAGTTTGGGAAATGACTAGAGGTTTGAGGACTGCACATTCTGACCGGGCAAAATTTTCCCCACACAACAAACCGATTTACCGATTTAATTCCTTCTTCAAAACTGCTGAAGGTTGCAACGGCACCACGAGTTGAAGTTCCAATATGCTCCCTTTGCATGAACATCTCTCCTCCTCCGTGCAGAGAAAACTTGTACAAATTGTCTTTTTAGAATTTAGACTGTAGTTCTAATTAGAAAAGTGTCGACCGTTGTTGGGCTCATATTGGTTTGGAGGTAGAGGAGGAGACTGGTTTAATAATACATAATCTGCTCTGTGGACTCTACTCTGCCCCCCTTCCAGCCCTCTTTACCATCTGCAGCTGACGCCTGAGTCTGTGTGTCTTTGGCACTCTGTGTTCAGCGCGTGTGTGTGTGTGAGTGTGTCTGTGTGTGTGTGTGTGTGTGTTTGTAAGGCTGAGATGGTGCGTTTTCTTTTTCGCACAACACTGCACTTCTTAACGCCCGGTTGCACAAAGTCAGAGAAATGAGAACCGTCCTCGCTGACGTCTTCAGTTTGCAGCTGAAACAAATAATTGATTATCCCGGCGTTCCCGGACTTATCAGCTCATGAATTGTGGGTATTTATCATCTCTGGTGGCCACGCGAGGCTGCCGTCCTGTCCGCCATCCACATGGAGCTCAGAGGAGGGCGAGTCGCTCGGGACGCAGCGTCATCACAGTACTTTCACACCAGCGTTATCACACAGGAGGTTTGTTATTTTTCCGCCCTATCTGAGAAGCAAGAGATAAGGCGCATTCCACAGCAGCCCGTAAACACCAGCCGCAGAGTCGTATAAGGCGCGCGCGTGGCTGTAAAGATGAGAGGACGACAGCCTCTGCTGCTGCAGTCACTGTCCCCCCCCGTAGTCCCACCGTATTCAATGTCAAAGCGTCACGTTTTCATATTTTATTTCTCTGTCCTTGATCCTGTTTGCTGCCGTGTCTCGGTTTATTCACGTTGTGTTTTCTCCAGAAACTGGCGGTGCTGAAGGACAACTTCCAGCTGGACTCGGGCTCGCAGCAGGAGCTGTGGGGCAGCAGTCCGTCGCTCGCCAACTCCGAGCTGTCCATGCCGCCGCTTTACTTTGACGCCGGCTCGCAGACCGACATCCCCGCGGAGGTGAGTCGCCAGCGCAGGAGAACCCAGCTTCACTATTTATTGAGAATAAAACACTTACAATGCATGATGAGATATTAGTCAGGAGGACGGAGTGCTTCTATAACGGTGTTTGTGTTCTCAATGAAAGGATCTGATGTGTCGACGTTTTGTTTTTATTTAGTTCATGACGAGCACCAACAAACTGGCAGAGAAGGTTCGCGTGAGTCTGAAGTACGAGGAGGCCAAGAGAAGGTACGTCACTTACTACGTTAAGATTACATTAACCGTACACGCACATGATGGAAGTTTTGCTGTTATTTCATCTTGTTTGGTTTTGGGCCCCACTAAAAAGTGTTTTTTCATTATTGCCTTGGTTTTACTGCTTTGTCTATCAATATGTTATAATATTTATGATTCTTAAATGATCCGTTCTGCATACTAGTACATTGGTTTTTTGGTACCGTATCATAAAATCATTTTCTTTCAGATTTTTGTATTTGACTTTTTATTAAACTATTAGACTTTGTCGTTCATCTCCTTTGTTTGCTCTTCCTTTCCTTCCTTCCCTCCTCGGGCGCTCAGGATCGCCACCATCGAGGTTCAGATCGCCAAGCTGGACAGCGAGGCGTGGCCGGGCCTGCTGGACCCGGAGCGAGACCGCCTCATCCTCATCAACGAGAAGGAGGAGCTGCTGAAGGAGCTGCAGTACGTCAGCCCCCGCCAGCGGCTGCAGCCTAACGACGCCGAGAGGCTGGACGCCGAGAAGAAGCGCCTGGAGAGAGACCTGCAGGCCGCCAGGGACAACCAGAGCAAGGCCCTGACCGAGAGGTGTGTGGGGGGGGAGGCGCTGACATTAGGCTGCTCTAAAGTTGTGATCCTAGGAAGGTCAGAGCAGGTGATGACGGCGGTGGGACGAGTCTCTCTGTGCTCCTCACTGTCTTGCTGCTGATGAGACGTCTGACCTTCTCTCGCTGCTTGACTGCTTCGTCATCGGCCTCCGAAGCTCCCAGATGATTATGAAGAGTTAGAGATGAGCGTGACAGCGAGCACAAAGAGCAGCCTCTCCTCTTCCTTTATGGTTTCCTCTCATCCTTCTCCTCTCCTCCCCTCTTCTTGTCTCCTCCTCTACTATCCTTTATATGTCTCCTCCTGTGCCTGTCCCCTCTCCTTGTATTCTCTCCCTATTTCCTCTTGCCAGGTCACCTCACCTCTCCTCTCCTTCTTCTCCTTGTCTCCTCTCTATAAAGTCTTCCAGACTTTTACACATCCACGGCTGCTCACCTAAATCTTTTCGTCCTCCTTTCCTCTTCTCCCTGTGTAGCACCTCCTCTTGTCTGAACTGAAATAGCAGTGACCACCAATCCAGACTCGCCAAGTTCCTGTAACCCCCCCTCCCCTTATCGCTCCATCCCACTACCCCCCTCCCCCCCCCCCCTCTTATAACAGGACGCCTGTTATTCAGCGACCAGGTTGGACTCTACCTGAGCTCGTCTTCCGGTCCTGTACCTGAGGAGGCTGCAGAGCTGCTCACAAAAAGATACTCTTGTGTCCACACACACACACACACACACACACACAGACACACACACACAAAATATGCAGACCTTCGTGTATTCAGTTTATGCAGGTGGTGAAGATGTCAAATCCACTAAATTCATTGGTTTTGGACGTTTGGAAGGCTTTTGAATGTCTTTGTCAGAGATGTGACCAATAGGAACTCCTCTCGAGTTGAGCTGTGCGTGGTGCGTTAGATTGTAACGACAATGTCAGTCGAGTAAATTGGTTTTCTTCTAAAGAAGCAGAACAAAACTACCAGAAGTAGGATGCAAATGTCAGCAAAGCTCAGCATGAAAACCCCGAAGTGAAAATACTTGTTTGTGTGTGAGGACATAAATAGTATGTTGTTTTTCTGTTTTCCACGTCAAATCAAGTCACGTTAACACACGCTCACACACACACACACACACACACACACACACACACACACACCAGTGGCTACCTGTAACCGGATGGAAGGCTTCCCCTCTTTGGGCTCAAAACACGGCTCATAGTAACATGTGTTAATGTGTTTCCTCCGAACAAAGCAGCTGACAAAGAATCAGATTTGTTACTAAGAGGATTTAATTGTGTCATTTCAGACTTCTTCTCCACTGCAAGAGGAACAAGCTGGTCAGGGAGCTGGAGGAGATGGTTCGACTGGCCTCATCACTACATACTCAACTCAAAAGGTGTGCTTCTCATTCTGCTGTTTATATTCCATCACAGACCATTTCTGTTCGTCACCCCTTGCATCTTGTTGTTGTAGAACTAACCATTAGTTACATCAGTTAAAATAGATTGTACCCCCTCAGTTATTTCGCTGACTTCAACTCCTTCTCTAGAAATGTTCAGAATGAAATCAAAGAAAAGTTTTGGTAGTTTCCAAAGTTGCGGCTGAGCTTTTATTGTGGTCGAAGCAGAGACATCCAGATGAGATCCATGTGAGAGTGAAGGCTCTGACTGACAGCTCGTTCCACATTCAAAGCTTTCGCTCAAGTACTCTGGGCTTGATTTACATTCCCATCTATTTCCAGACAGCGGTTTATTCCCCCCCCCATCACTTCTTTAAGCTCGGCATATTTCCCACGAGGTCCTTGACCACCAGATGATTCACGGCAAAAAACAATCCTCTGGTCATGAGATCAGAAGGAGCCAGTCGAAGAGGCCCGAGCTTTGAAGTGAGGGGGGAGGTTGAGAAATGTGAGGAATTTAACCTTTAATGACCAAACATTCGATGCAGATCAAAGACATCTTGTTCTTTCCGTCTTCTCGATATCAGCCACTTGATCGCGCCACGAATAACATGCCCCCCCCCCCGGTTATTGTTGTGGTTCGAAGAGCCGTGCGTGTTTTAAAATTCACGTTTCATATTCAACACAACTGGATTTGAGGGTTCAACGATAATTAGCTGAGAGGTTGTAAGTGACGGGGCCGTCGGTCTCCACCTCCGGCTAGTCGCCCCCGGCGGACAGGAACACTTCTCTGCCTAACGGGCCCCTCTGCTTTAATTAGAGAGCTGTTTATTCAGAAAGGAGAGGTGAGGAGAAAGAAATAGACTAAATAAGTAGTCCCACGAGTTTCATTTGATTTGGATGGAAGCTTTGAAATTAGCAACATCTCGCCTGCTGTGGAAAAATAATTAAGCCCAAAATCTTCTGCAACTGCTGCTTGAATCTTTTTGAGGCTCTTATTTATTTATCACAATTAATGCATGAAGGCTGTTGAATGTGCTTTTAAGAACACATAAAACCCAATAAATGAGAGCTTGTTTAAAACTTGTTGAGATGTGTCTGTCAGAACAGGCTGGGGGGGATGGAGGGGGCACTTCCAGACTGCCTGACTTGAATCCCGTCTTTCACCCCCCCCAGCCTGTCGGCCAGCACTCTGTCCTGTTCCTCCGGCAGCAGTCGAGGCTCTCTGACCTCCAGCCGCGGCTCGCTGGCCACCACCTCCAGCCTGGGCTCCACCTCCTCCCTCAGCTTCACCGACATCTACCTGGAGCAGCCGGAGCTGGCCGACCCGGACTTCCAGAACAAGCTGGACAGCCTCCTGCAGGAGGGCGCCCAGGGAGGCTACCGCCCCTCCAGCTCCATCACCACCATCCACGAACACGAAGTGGTGACGGGCTCCGGCGACAGGCCCGAGGGACAAGCCGGCGGGGCGGGCGGTGACGCGGCGTGCCCCGCCGGAGGAGGTGCAGCAGCAGGAGGTGGAGGAGGAGGTGGTGTCGGAGCGGAGTCGGGCTCGTCCAGGACGCAGGGGCTCAGGCTGTCGGAAACCCCCCGCTCCATGAGCTCCTTATCCCCCCGCTCGTCCCTCTCCTCGCTGTCTCCGCCGTGCTCGCCGCTCGTCACGGACGCCAGCTTCCTGTCCGGAGACACGTTCACGGACCCGACGGGGCCCGGCGGGCTGAGCCTGGACATAGAGCTCCACAGCAGGCTGGCGGAGCTGGAGCTCAGCCTGGACGCTCAGGAGCAGCACGGGTGTCCCAGGACCCTGCAGGAGAAACAGGATCACCACAGCGCACTCGGAGAGGAGGTCAAAGGTAAACAGGAAGCTTTCGTTCTTTGATTCTCCTTCATTCAGAATGTTCACACACCTCTTTACATGTGCTGCAGAAATGCCCGTTCAATAAGGAGAAGAAGGGGAGACATAAAGGGGGGAAAGTGATTTATGTGCTGCTATGACTTCCTCCACTGGGGATTTTGGTGCCCGGTTTTAAGAAATAGCTTCTAAAACTGATTTTAATGACAAAGTCCAACATCGCAGTCGGCATTTCATCTCCCCCGGACGCTGCTGGATGGAGTTCTGTGCAGACCAGTAACGTCCTTCTACACCCAACTGGGAAAACCGTTTCTTCATAAGACCTGAAACAGGAACTGGTGACACCAAGTTGGCAGCTGCACTATTGTATATATTTACTTTGATAATGTAGCATTAAAACTTCCCTTTATTGGAACCAAAGGGACAAAAACAAAGACCATTGAAAAGCAAGTGAATGGAAGTTCACGAACCAGCTGGAGTGGCTTTTTTCATCCTCAACCAAATCATGTCACATCTCGACAGCAATAAAAACACGCGTGTATGTGTGAGTGTGTTTCAGAAATGTTACACTGTGTGTGAAACCTGATTGCTGGATGGAGCAATGAGGAGAGGTGAAGCACAGGAGAGTGTTGGGTTACAGCCACTAGGCGCGTGTGTGTGTGTGTGTGTGTGTGTATGTGTGTGTGTGTGTGTGTGTGTGTATAGACGGACAGACAGACCAATGTAAGGGCTTTCTGTCGAGGGAGTCTGGGGGAGTGATCTGAAGACCCCATGTTGCCTCCATGAGCCGCGTGTCACGGCGGCTGAAAGGAATGGAAGTGGATCCATCGCTGCGCGGGGGCGTGTGATCCGGCCTCCCTGCGGCTGAACGTGACTCCACTTCTTGTTCAGCCTCAGGTGAAAGGGGCACGTGGTGTCTGGTTTGCTTTTCACTCTCCATCTCTGCTGCCAGGGCTACACATGGCGCCGGGCTTCATTAATGAGGTAGAGTCCGGGGCGGCATGCTAGTGTACACACACACACACACACACACTATTGGGAGCAGATTCCTATGATGTGAGGTGAAGTTATGTTTTGAGTTTTTTTGAAACAGAGGAAAAAAAAGTACCAGAAACAGAAATCCTTTTGTTATCGAGCGAGCATCCTCAACGTGTTTTCCGGTGTCTTTCTTTAGACTCTGCTCCCCAACTGCGAGGGACCGGGCCGAAGAAGATGGGCGTGACCTCGGCTGTGTCTGACGAGTCGGTGGCTGGCGACAGCGGCGTGTACGAGCCTTCGGAGCGCAGGTGCAAACGCCCTTTTAGCCACAACGCGTTTTCCCCTTTTAAAAATGTCACCTTGCGTTTCTGTCCTTTGTGTCTCTGTTCTGTAATTCAGATTTTCAACACACACCTTAAGCACAATATTAGAAATGTACCACTTATGGTACCAATAAACCTTTCGTAAATGTTTGTTCCTCAACTTGGCCCGAGATGTGTTTAAAGCAGAAGCGTGTCTCCTCCAGGCCGGGCCTCCCTGCCGACCTCGTCCCGAGCTCCTTTGAGGAGAGGCCGCCCGTCTGCTGCTCTCAGGTGCAGCTCGGGTTCCGATACGAGTCCAGAGACCAGCGCTTCACCCTCTACGTCATGCAGCTCTCCAACTGCAGCGCCCTCTGTCTGCCGGCCGAGCGGAAAGTGTACGTGTACTTTTGTTCCCCTCCGGTCATTAGATGACGCTTGCTCACTGAGTACTTTAGGTGGATGTGTACGAAAAAAGAAAAAGAGAGGAGGCACAGAAACAATACATTATATAACAGTGTACAACGTTTAAATCAAACACAGGACGCAGTTAAAGTAAATAATGCAGGCGTGGCGGAGGCAAAGACGAGTAGATTAAAGAGGCGTGTCTTATTTTTGGACGCCTCCTGAGACTGTTTGCGCACGTTTTTTTTCTGTATGTCTTACACATCACACGTACGCATAATAAATGTACATAATAATACTCATACATGGGTTGTACAGAAACGTATTCACGTGCTCATCTAAAAAGGACCTCGACCACAGCAGCAACATTTCTACACGTGGAAAGTTAATGTAATTAAAGGGCATAGCTGTAAGACTTTATGGGGTATTTAACACTGTCCACTTATCATTAATACCCTGCTCTGCAGATGATGTAATCTTCCGTCTGCCCAGCAGGTATGTGCGTTCTGCCGTGCTGCCCTGCGTGGAAACCGGCCGCTGCCTCTTCCGAACACGCGGCTCTCTGCCTCAGGATGTCGTGGAGGTCAACGAGGTGTTCAGCATGCAGATATCCCACGGTGCATTGCGGCAGAAGACGCTGAGGGTCGACGTCTGCAACACCAGCAAGTCGGGCCACGAAGGCTGTCTGGTGAGTGGAAGGCTGTTGGGTTTTAGTGGCGTCGGCCACCTTGGAGACGCAACAATATGAAAACAATCGTACATGAAAGAAAGAACTCGCCAGCTTCCTTTTTGTTTGTCGGTCAATATCATTTTTAATTATTCCTTTATTTTCATTGAATAACTCTTCTCTTTTTAAATATGTTTCATTTTCTTATTCCCGATCCATGTGGCTTTATTTATTCCAAGGGTTTGGATGAGCAGTGACCTTCCAGATGTTCCCGACCACTAAACTATTTAATTATCTATTTTTCTCCTCCCCCTTGCAGGCGGGGGCCCAGATCAGCCTGGCTGACGTCAGCTGCTCAGAGGAGAGATGCACCAAGTGGTACAATCTGCTGAGTCGGGCCCACGCGCGCGACACCACCAAGGACAAAGCGAGCAGGCCGGTGGGCGGCTCTGACGGGGTACGTGTTCCCCATCTTTCCCGAGAGCGTTCAACATGCTGCCGTTATTAGTTAACAGAAAGCTTTAGTGAGGCCAATTCCCCCAATCGGCTCTTTGGAAAGAGTGACCTTCACAAGTTAGACGTGTGTGGTTGAGAGCTAATCCTCTCTCCCCCACAGAGCACTGCTACATGTCTGGAGGGGTCATTGTAGCCACATTTTTTACGCGATGTGGTCAAGCTACAGATGTTTGGTCTCTTCTACGTTTCAGACTCGGGTTTCCGGCAGCGACAGAGTCGGAGGTCCAGAGGACCACGAGTGGTGAGTGTTTTTATTCTGTCACTTATTCTTCTCTCACATTTGTGACCGTCCATTGTTTCCTTTTACATTTTTCCGTGTTGTTCATATGAAGGCATCAACAAACTGCAGGTTAGAGGGGTAGTTGAGACGGGACAACAACAAAACTTATTCAAGTCATTACCTCAACTGAGCGCAGCTAAAGCGGTCGTCTACCACGTGTGTGTTTGTGGAGTGACACACACAGGGAACGCAGCCCGGCGGGTTCACACTGTAAACAAAGTTGCTTGGATTTCGGATACACCTCCGCCCCGTCTTTTGAATGACACTCCTACCTTTCCCTTCTCCTCCTGTCCTACGATAATCAATCCCATGTCTTCTCAACGCAGCTCCTGTCTCCTTCCACCGGAAGGATGGAAATAGATCAACTAGTATTCACTCGCATTCGTTGCACCCGTTTCCTATAGTGGATGTATACACACTGTAGACTCTATTTTAGAGGTTTAGTCGGAAGCAAAACAGTCTAACAGCTTGAACACGCAGATTATATATCGAATGAGTGGTAGGAAATCGAAATGAAAATTAGTAATACTAGAAATACTTCTTTTTAGCAGGTTGAGTATTTATTTTACTCTAATAATAAAACCCTTATTCATTCAACAAAAGCCATTCTTGAATAATAAATGCTGCCGTTGAGGAGCAGCGATTAGATTGGCCTGATAATGATTCAAACAAGACACGCCTTCACTTCCTAAAAGCTCCTCTGATGCTGATTGACAGGCACGGCGACCCTCTGGACATGTTTGATGACGAGGACGGAAACGGCGTGGAGGAAGAGGACGGCTTTTATCCTGACAGCAGCCAATGGGAAGCGGAGGAGGAGGAAGAGGAGGAGGAAGAGGAGGAGGAGGAGGAGGAGGTGACCAAACCGCCAACAGCAGCAGCCATCACAGAAAAGGTAACCGTTGTTATATTAGGCAGAAAGGGAAATTACGACACCCACTTGAATGTCAAGAAGACGTTGTTTGTCTTTCATGTTTGGACATTCAGCATATTTATTTTGGCAAACCGTAAAACCGCTTTTGGTGTTTGAAGGTTTTCTTCTTACAGGTTGCTAAAGTTTCATTTTCATGTCTATTAAAGTTAGATATCAAACATAAAAAAAGCCTCTGCTGTCATTCGTCCCTGGTGAATTTCGCCGTGTGCTCCGTCCAGGTGAACAAGGAGACGAGCATGGACAACTCCTTGCCGTCCTACCACTCGGTGGTTCGACCCAAGGACCGCCGGCCGGACGTCCACCAGCAGAACCCCTTCATGAGGGGCAACACCATCATCCGCTCCAAGACCTTCTCGCCCGGACCTCAGAGCCAGTACATCTGCCGGGTTAGGATAAAAAAATAAAATTAAAATAAAGGACACAAAGGGATATTGGCTCATCACACACAGAGAGGGAGAGAGAGGACTGAGTTGGATAAATCTCGCACTCACGCTCTGTTGTGTCTTCGTAGATCAACCGCAGCGACAGCGACAGCTCCACCCTCTCCAAGAAGTCTCCGTTTGTCCGGAACGCGTCGGAGAGACGCAGCATGCGCATGAAGAAGGTACAAAAAAATAACTGTAAATAACCGTGTTTTGAGATTTTTATTATTATTCTACATCGTAATAATTCCTCTTTTGTTGCACAGCGCTTAAAACAGAGATGAAAGCAACAGTATAATGTTATTATATGTTGATTTAATTGTGATTGAATGATACTTTTTATTATATATATAATTATATGTAACAATATATATATATATCTGTCATATCTGTCATATATATATAATTGAACAATAGTACAGTCCAACCTGCAGGTGCGTCGGCCTCCTCTCTCCACCTCGACTCCCAGTGAATGTGATTCTCAATATTTAATAACCATCTGAATGTTTAATGCAGCTGCAGACATTTGCCACCTTCTATTAATTCAGAGCCAGGCAGCGAAATCCACAAACACACATTCTGCATCGGTGGCAGAATTTACAAATGATTTTTGAGACGTGTGCAGACTTTAAATACGCTTGTGTCTTCATGTGTTACAGTAACGTAAAGCCATTTTGTCCATATTGGAGCCTTTAACGGGGACCGACTAGTCTGAGTTGGAGAGACGTTTGCTCCAGCATCTAATCTCTCCCCCCTGCAGCCTCCCATGCGGGTCAAAGGCCTGGACGGCCTCCTGCGGACCTCCATGGACCTGGAGATGGACCTCCAGGTGTCCCGGACGCGGCAGACGCGTCTATCGCAGGAGCTGCGGGTGCTGCGGGAGCTGAAGTCGCAGCTGGAGGAGGCGAGGCAGCAGGGCCAGAGGGAGCTGCCGCCCTGGGTCCAAGAAGACGAGCGCTTCCGCCTCCTGCTCAAGCAGGCCGAGAAACAGGTGAGCGATCGAGCTCGCACCCCACGCAGGGAGGCTTTCTTTGCATTTTGTAAATTGGGGAGAGCAGAGTTGAGTGTCGTCCGCGTCCTCGTCCTGCTTCAGACTCGTGAGGAGCAGCTGCAGGAGAAGCGGGTGGAGAAGATGATGAGGGCAGCGGCCAAGGACGTCCACAAGATCAGGGGCCGCAGCCGCAAAGAGGTCCCCGAGGTCCAGACCTTCAGGTGGGGGAAGCGGCATTGTGTGCATCATACGCAGCAGCGCCCCTACTGGAAAAATAACACAAATATGTTACCCACACAGCAATGAAACATACATCCATCTGATGGGAAACATTTTGAAGAACTTGACTGAAACAGTATTTAATGTATTTCTAGCGAAAAATGCTGAAGAAATATATAGAACATTCATTCATGTTTTTTTTAATTTGTGACAAGAAAAGTAAAACCAAAACAACAAATGAAATCGACATTACACGTTAACCATTAAGGTCACAAGGTGTGGTGTCAGGAGTTTGTTTTGAAACCCTTTCAAAATAAGGTTCTCATGGTCCCTGTGTGATTTCAGAGAGAAGATGGCCTTCTTCACACGAGCAAAGAGCAGCATCCCCGACCTGCCGGCTGACGACGTGTAGAGAAGCATTTCAAAGTATTCCCCCTCCCCCCCTTCAGTCTGTACCTGCTGTTCCCCCTCACATGAAGCACACGTTTGGCGGTGTTATGAAGAATTTTAGAAAAAGAAAACGTTTAGAAGAGAAAGCACTCGAAGGGCGTGAAGAAGCGCGTTTTTGGAAGCTGTGTTTCTGATGGGGTTAGTCTTTGTTTGTAAATTAGTGACAGCACTGCTTTCTGGATTTTTCTTTTTTTATTGTTATTATTATTATTATTATTATTTCAGTCTCTCTTCCACTGTCTGTAGCATTGTGTTTCTGTTACTAACAGGCTGTTTATAGGCTCTTAGGTGTGTCAAATCATTCCAGCAACAAGTCACAAGGATACACACATACAGTTCGTTACTGAAGCGACACATTTGGACAAACAAATATATTTATATATGCATATATGTGTGCATATCACACAAAATGACGGTACTGAAACAAAACAAGCAGCGTAGGATGATAATAGCACAACAAATAAAATTAAGAGACTTTTACTGATGTTGAGTGGAGCAGACCTGAAGATTGTTTGATGTGTACAATAATGACGGCACAGACAGTTCATCATCATCATCATCATCGGGCCTTCCTTCGGTTTTGTTGATTGAGCTGATGATAAAGGTGAAGTGGTGAGATTCATCTCGCTTCAAAAGAAAAGTCATTGTGATTTTCTCACACACACACACACTGCACGCAAAGTGCAAGAATGACGCTCTCTCACTAACACTCGGGTAGATGATCGGATAGTCTGCACTTTATGTAACTTGAGATAAAAGTAAGAAAAGAAAAAAAAAAAAACCGTGAAAAAGACACTTGATTTGGGTTTTTGGGAAAATTCAAAAGAAATCCCCAAAACCTTTGCCTGGAATGCGCTGGAATGATGATTGTCAAAGCACACAAAGATTGTTGAAGCACACACACACACACACACACACACACACAGGAAGTGAAGATCAAGCGTATTTTTGATGACTGTGAACTAAAAGCGGCGTTTTGATGTCCGACTCGCCTCCCCCTCTGTTTGCGCTCCGTTTCGGACGCGTATCTGAGATACGTGTTCTCACGTCTCTTTGATAGGAGCACGATGCCCCAGCAAGACTGAAAAACACCGGCCGCGACTTCATATTGACTGCCTGCGCTGAAAAACTAATTGCAGCATTTTTCAACCCTTCACCCCCCCCCCCCGTGCCACAATTAATCACGAGTTAAATAACAAACACTAATAACTGAGAACCCTTTCCTGGTACACTGGCTGTAAATCAGTATTTCCCTGTGTCCGTGTGTTCGGAGCGACTGAATCGTGCACCTCAGACGCCACAGTGCGTGAGTCCTATTCAGCTCAGTGAAGAACTCCGGACCGCTGACGTTGTTTCCGCGGCAACCGGACTCTGGCACGTCGCCTGTTTACTGACTCTTTGTGTTGGTACCTGGATGTAGAGCAGCTGTTGTACGTTTTGTCCGTGGTGTTTTGCTATGAAAATTTTATTTTCAACAGTTCACTCGCGTTAAAGCAACTCTTCTTCTGTGATTTACCTCGTGTTTCTAATGAAGCTTTTTCCAATCCTCCATTAATATTGGTAATGATGTTTGTCTGCTAGGAAATAGACCAGAATGCGTTGCAGAAACAAGACAACAGGGACTGGAAACACGTTCTCATTACTTTGCTTACTACCTCATTTTTATGGCCAGTTTCTGAGCCTTTTCTACATAAAGTGTCGTGACCACAGTGCGGGGACACGATGGACTACAATAAACGACAACAATGAGAAGCACGTTACAGCAAGAGAGACTAAAACTCACAAATATGAAAAACGCAACAAAAAGAAGACTGCAAACAATTTGCCAGAATGCATTGTGGGAAATGTAGTGACGAAAGGGAGCAAGAAGAAAGTTCAGAAGGTTGCATCCTTTGGACACTCAAGAACTAAACATTCTGTCTGACTTAGAAGAAATAAAAGAAGACACTACCTGCGTAACCGTAAAGCTCAACAAAAAGCTGGATTTTTACTTTTAAGTGCCAAAACCCAACAGTTTCTCAGCGTGCGGTCCTAAAGTGGACTCGTAGTCTCTCCCCAGGGACGCTTTGCGGCTGCTACATTATAAATAATTAACCGGACGATGGTCATACGTGCCGATGTCGTCATCTCTTGCTGGGTCATCATGCTATTTCCTGCCTTTTGGGTCCTTTAGGTGCTTTGGAGAAAAGTGACACAAACCCTTCTCGTAATCATGTCTCCATTTCCCAACGAGAAACCAGCTGCTGCCGTCCTTCCAGATGTTTCCGCTTCACCAGAAGAAAACACTAATTGTTTTAGTTCCACAGGAAAGGTAGTCACAACACCGTGGAAGTCGGGAATATATATTGCACAAACACGTTTATGAGAATAATTAATACCACTTAAATAGTCCAAAATCACCAGAGCTGCTCGCTCCTCATGTGGAGCTGGACGGAAGCTCAATCCGATGCCGTGAGGACGTTTGATCCGTCTGAGCAGTTTTTAAGCTAAACACTGTACAAACGATCAATACCAAAGATTTAACCGAAACTCACACCCTGGAATGTAGCCGTTAGTGTTCCAAACAATACTTTACCTGGGGTAAAAACTATTACATCTCAACATCTGGATCCGGTCCCCCCCCTCCAAGTAGAGCGGGCCGGTGGGGTTGAACTATAACAGGACAATTTGACGTCAATCAGAGCCTTATGCTGTTGTTTTCTTTCTTCTTTTTTTGGTGTCTATTGTCCAAACACGGCCGCCACTACGTGACCTGAATGAAGCTGGAAGCAAAGAGTGTTTGCATCGTTTTTTTCCCCAAATGGCAAAGCGTTTGTCTGTTGTGTTCCCCGACTGTAGAGCGAGTAGTTTTAAGGAATAGGAATGTCTGCGAATCCAGTTGAACTCTTGTCCTGATCGACCGAATGTTGTTTAACGTCTAAATCGGAAAAACTAAAAAAAGGACACGTTTATACATAGCAACATCTGGATGAAGAAATCTACAAGAAATCACGATCATTCAGAGAAAAACAAATGCTGTTAGTCACAAATAATTATTTTTTCATCGTGTAGGTTGTGATATTATTCCTGTTTGTTTTTTGAAGTTCAAGTGCATTTTTTTCTCCGCCTTCTGTTGTGTGATTTTTGTTTTATCCCGAATTAATCTGTTTGTATTACGACTGTTGATGATCCCGGTAACGTGTATGGAGGCGGCTATGAGAAACATGCAGCATGTATTTATTGCACTTTGTGATTTGGGTGTGCTTTTCCTGTTTTTCTTTGTTTCGCAAGAGTCCTGAAAAGCTGTGAATTTTATTCTCAGACACTGTACTACCGACCAGATATGTAAATATTTCACCAGCACAAAAAACAACAACCAAACAAAATGTTTTGTAGTTTCACAACAAATAAAAAAAGTTCTTCTCTTCTATTTGATGTGTTTTGTGCGTCCAGAATTTACTTTTTTGTACATATTTTATCCATCTCCCTTAATATTTTAAATATGACATGTGGGATCCAGGTACAAATGTGCATTTTTTTCCACTTTCCAAATATTCTGTTAGGGTATACTAACACTTTTGGTGGAGCAGAGTAAACTCTTTGTGTGCATTTCACTTTTTTATCTATTTGTAATCGGTCACACGGGAGAGTTTTGGTTTGCACTCTGTATTATTGTAGAATAACTAGCTTGCATGCAAAAAATTACTTACGAATAGCAGCAAGCTATACTTTCCTACGGTATCCCTATAATTTTATTACTATTAATTATTTTTCAAGTTGTCAAAAGCCCAAAAATTTTTAGTTACAGGTTTGATTTTTAACTGGGGTATTTTACAAGCAAATATATCATTTTTTCATTACGTCATATTGCAACACATACAGGAGGGGGCGCTGTCCTTCTTTGACGGTTTAAAGATCCACCAAGAAACACGAAGAAGAAAAAGATGACGTATCCTGTCCCGGAAGCACATACCTCAAAGTTTTGAACTGCTTCCTCATCCCAGTTTCGTCAGACACGAGACTCCGCATCGAGCAGACAGAAGAGTTTCTCTCTGGTGTGTCAGAAAGATGGGAGACCCCATAACCGAGTGCGCAGGCCGACTGCAGCAACAGGTAACCGGCCGGCCTGCGGGGGGTGTAGCTGGGGTTAGCTAGCAGGCTAGTCGGCGTCCATCCCGTAGCTTCGCACCGGGTCCGCAGGAGCCAGAGCTGTGCCGAACGTCATTAAAGAAAGTAACAATTTAACGCTGTTGTACCTATTATCCAAAAATTAAACATGGCCGAAAAACAACAATAATGTATACCGTTTAGATGTTTCCCATACTCACATTCGGCTGACATTAATTTGCCCGTATGCCCTTTTTTAACGAATACAATACACTTTTTTTTTTAATTTTCTCTAAGTGGTGTGTTCATTTACTGGATGTCTGGTTTTGTTGTAGAATCTATTTATCCTCAAGTCTATTTCAGGGAGTCTTTGTATTAATTTGACGGTTTGTTGCATCGCGATGCAGCTTTCAGTTTCGTTGTGATACTCAACCATATAAGGCCATAAATACCACCAAAGAACTGCTCATGAAGTTAAACATTTACCCCTGTTGCCTCGTAATAATCTCATCGTGAAAGCACTACGATTTTCTGCCACAGTACAATGTGCCACAGACGAAAAATAAAGGGAATTACCAAACACCAGTTCCTATTTGCATCAGTGGATTATTTTGACACAAGCTAAAGCTGCTAAAGTCACAGTAAATCACATGACAAACAAATGTGACTGATAAATTCGGCTGATATCTATCTTTGAGACTATACGAACTCCCAGCTGGCTCCCGTTCTCTCTTCAGGAACAAGCTCTTGCATCACAAGTAGACCTTTCCAAAACCGGATCGTTCCCACAAATCTTCCTGTATTGTTTCGCAGGAGAAGGACATCCAGAGTCTCTCTGCAGAAATCGAGAGCCTCAAAAACCCGCAGAACCTGAGCGCGTCCGAACACCTAGATGAGCTGCGGGATAAAAACGCCAGGCTGAAGTACCGCGTCAACATCCTGAAGAGGGTGAGGGACACCGCGGGGGCCCCGAGCCGACCCGAAGCGCCATCCAGAGCTGTTTGTTGGCTCAGCTGGTTGCTGACGGCCGGCTTAATATTTGTGTTAAACTCTGAAAACACACGGCCCCGTTGCACTTGTAAACCTAACGTGTTTCTTGCACAAATGCTGCGTGTCCTCAGAGCCTGCAGGAGGAGAGGCCGACCGGCTGCAGCACGTCCATGACCAACATCAACCAGCGGCTGCAGGAGGTTTTCGGCGAGGCCATCCGGGCGTCCTGCCCCGAGCTGGACGACCCCCCCCTGTCGGTCGCGCCCAACCAGCAGGCCAAGTTCGGAGACTACCAGTGCAACAGTGCCATGGCCATGGCTCAGGTCAGTTCTCCTAATTATTGCTATCCCTAACCTTGATTTTTTACTTTCTCCACCGTTCTACGGATACATCCGCGCAAGGACGAGTCTGGTTTTAAAAGCGCTGTTAATTTAGTCGTGAGCTTTTTCTCTTCCGCAATAAAAAGACGCGGCGCAGAAAGGAGCTGTTTTTAACGACTGAAGGTCATTTTAATAGGGCTGTGCGAGTCGTTGAAGGATCTGTAACGTAATGTTTTACCGCTTAAAGTACCACTTTAGATGTTGTGTTTACCAGAGAGATGCTCATAAATCTACAGGGGCAGTTGTTTTCTTTTTTGCTTCATTGTGACCGGGCAGCATTTAGTTGCGCCACAAGCTGCTCGAACAGCACAGCAGTTTCCCCACACACACACACACAAACACACACACACACACACACAGACACGCACACACTCTCTTAGTATCCGTTCATTTAACGCATTTGGCCGTCGCAGATGCTGAAGGCCAAGGGGGTGAAAGTCAACCCGAGGGAGATCGCAGAGAAGATCATCCAGAATCTGCCGGACAACGAACTCGTCGAGAAAACTGAAATCGCAGGACCAGGTACACGCTGGTTGTTTTTAAGGACTTTCAGGTGCAAAAAAAGTCGTCACAGCTTGCGGGAATGTTTGTGAATATGTGATTGGTTTGGACTTGGATGAGAATAAATCACACTAATTGGTCCCCCGGGGCGGTTGGTTGGATGTCGGCCCTCAGAGTCCTTCCTCCCGGCTGCTTTCGGGCCGCGTGCTCGTCATCCCCTCTGATGCCTCTCGTGTCTTCAGGGTTCATCAACATCCACCTGAAGAGGCCGTTCGTGTCCAAACTGCTGAGCAAGCTGCTAGTCAACGGCGTGCAGCCCCCCCCGCTGGACTCCAGGAAGCGGGTACGTGGCGCTCATACGGCCGTACATAGCGAGGCGTGGAACGGTTGGCTCTTCTACAGGGTCTGACGTAGAATGATGATGACGACGACGAGCAGAGTTTTCAGTAGTTTGATGGAGCACGAAACATTCGCACGTGCTGGTTTGTGTGGTTGTTTCACAGGAGAGCCTCTCGTGGTCAGAGTGAGATTTACGGCGTATTCACAAAAATTATAGTGACAAAATAAAATCGTCCCGCAAAACGAAATGTTTTTCATCTCTTTTCACAAATGAAACTTAATCATGGCCAAACAAAAACTTTTCTCATTATTTTTGAAGTCATAGGAGAGAAATCCACTTTGTCACACAAATTGTTACTGAACTTTTCCTGAATTACTGCGGTTTCTATTCGATGGAAAGCGACTCGTCTGCTGGATCACACTCGTGTGCTGTAGTCTCTTAAGTGTACAATAAAAACGTTTTATCTGCATTTACTTCTCCGTGTTATCTGGTTGCGTTCAGGAGGAAAAGGTGTCCGACTGCTGCACACAATGACCGTAATAACAACAATACGTGTGGAATAGTCGTGTTGAAGGTCAGACATTTCTTTGTCTTTGTTGTTTGACATGCGTGTGTGCCACTCAGGTGGTGGTGGATTTCTCTTCTCCCAACATTGCCAAAGAGATGCACGTGGGCCACCTGCGCTCCACCATCATCGGGGAAAGCATGTGCCGTCTGTTTGAGTTCCTGGGCTACGACGTTCTCAGGTCAGTGAGTCGCTGCTCGTTTTACGTATCTCGTTCCAAATGTAAGTAAAAAGGGCGGCTGAACCGCCGGACGGGTCCCCGCGAGGCCCGCTGTGGAGTCACTCCCCCTGCTTGTGGCCCCTCTCAGGCTGAACCACGTGGGGGACTGGGGGACCCAGTTCGGGATGCTGATCGCCCACCTGCAGGATAAGTTCCCCGACTACCTGACGTCCTCCCCGCCCATCGGTGACCTTCAGGCCTTCTACAAAGTCAGTTGCGCCTCCGCGTGTTTCCCCCTACGCCCTCACAGGATGCACGGTGCCGAAGCACCTGAAGGGAACGGTGTCGTCACGAGAGATGAGCCAGAAATGACTCTCATTCTCACTGGATTTATTTCCTGAGTGAACAGGATTTTATTTGAATGCCTCCATCGATGGAGCATGATGACGAGCCGCTTATAAAGCACATTATTGTTTATGGTGTGGCCACCTTTTGATTGACAGGTTGTTGCCGGTGTCAGGGTAGTCCTACTACTGGCACTAAAGGACAACGGTGTTGTATATTATGTGAATACTTATGTAAAAACGCAGGAAATCATCGGCTATTTCTGCTCGCCACGCCTCATTTAGTTTTTACATAATCCACTCTACTCTTTTTGCTTCCTCCTTCCTCCCGCCTCCTCCCCCCCTCTCATTTTCCTTTCCTCCTCTTCCCACGGGAAGGAGTCAAAGAAGCGTTTTGACGAGGAGGAGGACTTTAAGAAGCGAGCGTACCAGTGTGTGGTCAGACTGCAGAGCAAAGAGCCCAGCTTCCTGAAGGCCTGGAACCTCATCTGTGACGTTTCCAGGAGAGGTAGGTTGCCATTAGAACTACGTCATCTTAACAAAGGAGTAATCCTGCTTTTTGTTCATTTGTTGTCAAAACCAGTTCTTAAATGACGATGATTGTGCTTCAGAGTTCCAGAAGGTTTACGACTGCCTGGACATCCAGATCGTGGAGAGAGGAGAGTCGTACTACCAGGACATGATGACGAAGGTGGTGAAGGAGTTTGAGGAGAGAGGTCGGTGGGCAGCGGCCTCTTTGTGGCCTCTCTTTGAAAAGAATTTTAACAAAAGGCACAAGTAGGACACTGCTACTTGTGCCTTTTGTTAAAATTCTCTTTTTTTTAAAATCTTTAATAATGTTAAAATCCCCCAACATTCAATGTGACGTTCTCTGAAATGATGGCCTGCTGTTCGTCGCGTGACCACCAGGGGGCAATATCGACTCTCCTTTCGTAAAAAATCCTGATGCCTCTTTTCTTGTCAAATTTTCTCTTTCCACTGTATTTTTTTTTTTCCCATTTCGCTCATCTTTTCTTTTTTTTCTTTTTTTTCACCTCAAACCACAACAAAATGATTTGTCTCTTCTCCCTCCTCTATGTACCCTTTGACTCCATCCATCATTCCCTTTTATCTGTGTTTCGTTTTTTCCTCAGGCATGGCGGAGCTGGACGAGGGGCGAAAGGTCGTCTTCGTCCCCGGTCAGTCCATCCCCCTCACCATCGTCAAGTCGGACGGCGGCTACACCTACGACACGTCGGACCTCGCGGCGCTGCGCCAGCGCCTCTTCGACGAGAAGGCCGACATCCTCATCTACGTCACGGACAGCGGACAGGTGGGCGGCGAGCGAGCGAGGGCAGAAGTGTACAAATGCACCGGCTGCACAAAGACACGAATGACGAAACCTGGATGGAAGACGCTAAACAAAAGGGAACAAAAAGACCAAAAGTCTCCTAATAGGGAGCAGAGGGACCTTTTGTTTCACAGCAATGTCACTGCTGTCAGTCGTCAGCTCAACGTTTTACAGCGTGCTTGTTCTTCAGGGCTGATGGACTATTGAGTCCGACTTTATTAAAGCTGCAGGTTCTTAGTTTTATTTCAAAGACAAATGTGTTCCTGACGGATGTGGCAGTGACGTATGGAAGTTTTTTTTTTTTTTTTTCCTTTCTCCATCTGTGTGTGTTTTTCTCCCGCAGGCCACACACTTCCAGGTGGTGTTTGCTGCAGCTCAGATGATCGGCTGGTACGACCCGCAGGTGACCCGGGTGGAGCATGCCGGCTTTGGAGTGGTGCTGGGGGAAGACAAGTGAGTCGCCAACGCACACGGCTCCACAGTAACACAATGACGCAAAACCGTCCAGGTCTTATTTTCACTTCAGCCGTCGCTTTGTGAACTAAAGTTCCCCTCGGGGAAACCCTTTGAATCCGGGACGAAGGAGCTTTTATTCCCCCCGATCGGGGATAAAGGTTACGGCACGGTGAGGGGCGGCTAACGGGTTAACAGTTAACAGCTAAGGGGTTACAGAGGTCTTGTAAAGTTACATCACGGCGCACATTCCATCAGCCCACTTTTTATTAATATTCATTTCTTGGAATTTAAAGGACACAGGAAAGGAAGAAGGATGGTTAAAGGGTTTAATGCAGTAAAGGGGTTGTGGAGGGGGGGGGGGGGGGGGCGAAGGGCCCCGCGTTGTGGCTGCAAACAGACTAATGAGCGTTTAACGGGGAGCCGAGCAGCCACGCAGACCAGCATCTCCCCACACTTCAATCTTCTGCCGGCCTTCACTGCCGCTTTGTCACCGCCGCTTCATGTTTTTTATCGCGTTTTATTATCGGACATAAAAAGAGAATTTTACTGCACGGCTGCATCGGAGGCTGGAAACGGGACGCAGCGGCGTCATTACCCAGCGTGAGAGGCGCAGGAGGCCGCAGAGCAGTGCTGCTGTAGGTGGACAGCGGTAATTAAAAGTTGGGCAGCCCGGGGGAGTTTGAGTTCACTTTGTGAGTCTGTAAACATGGGGGGCGAATGTGTGAATGAGTTCATGGATATTAATATTTGCTCACAGAGCGGCGATCTGTGTACACGTGGTTTCTTTTTGTTTGCTGCCATAAACGCGCGTCGATTTGCCGCGTGCTCATTTTTTGACTGTTTTGCACGTGTTTATTTTCGTGTTTGTTGATGAAACCAAGCGCGCCCCCAGATGAGGGAAGACGGATGTGAAAGCTCGGAACCTCGTTGAGTCGCGCCGCTCTCCTCCCTCCCGTCGGGCATTCAGGCTAAAGCGAAGGAGGAACTGATGGACAGACTGGATTTCCTCAAACGCAGATTCAACACAGAACGTGTGACTTCAACTGAAGTTACGCTTAAAGTCGCAGTTGAAATGGCCAAAAAAGCAGTAATGCAGCACACTTATTTATTCTTTATTCTTCCACAAACAGGGCGCGTCTTGTCACCCGTCGCCGAGCGTTTTATTTTCCCCGTCCGCAGGAGAAGTGGCGCCCAGGCGGCAGGTCGGCGTTCCGCTCGGCGGAGGCCGTAACTAAGTGCTGCTAAACGCCCCGCGGCAACCCGGGGGGGCGTAAATTGGCCCTCCGATGTCGGCGCCACTCCAGACTCCATTAGGAACGTATCACGCCGTTTTCATAATTGCTCATCCAGACAATGAGGGCTTAAAGCAGTCGGGGTCGGGGGGGCGGCTGCGGCTGCAGGTTATTAAATGTTTGGCTCGTGTTCTGCTTTCGGATTTGGTCGTTCGTACGAGATGTGGCGCATCTCAGTAGTAGTCTACTAGTTAGCTGTCGCCATAGCCGTTAGCGACAGGGAGACACACCTCCGCACTGGGGGAGGGATCTCAAAAACG